TAGGCCATCGATTTCCAAGATTCAGGACTTAGGAGACCTACCAGTTCATGTGAGCCTCCAAACAGGTCTTGGCCGCCTCCCGGCTGGACCACGCCGCGGGCCTCGATTGAATTCTTGGGTTTTAGAGACATCTATGAACCATAGCCCAAGGCCTTTTATAGACGGGTTATGAGGCCGTATTACAGCCGAGTTTGTAGAGCAGGGTGGCTCAAGGCTTTACATGCGTGCAAGGCTCATAAGCGAACCTCAAGACCTGAAGCACTACTGAAAGGAAACGAAGTTGACCGTGCAACGGATTGAGCGATTCCTTTCTACACAGAACTGCAGCAAAACAACGGAGAACGAGAATACATGCCACTCGGAGACGTGGCCGGGTTCAGGGAAACCCCCTAACAAGTCTAAGGATGAAAGCCGTGTGCTGAAACAAAGGTTCTATCACAAAAAAATACAGTACGGGGGTGCCTAGTACTGCGATTACTTCTGCTACTACTACTACTGCTACTACTACTACTACTTCTGCTGCTACTACTACTACTACTGCTACTGCTACTGCTACTACTACTACTACGACTACTGCCACTGCTACTGCTACTGCTACTGCTACTAGTACTACTAGTACTACTACTAGTACTACTACTACTACTACTACAACTACTACTACTACTACTGCTGCTACTACTACTACTACTACTATACTGCTACTACTACTACTACTGCTGCTGCCGACTGTTGCTACTAGTAGAAGTGCTGATATGAAGCCGCATCATTACATGTGGCCCGCCGATTCAAGGAAGAGAATGAGGATTTAGGATTCAGGTTTACGCTTAGGGTTCGGAAGGCAGCAAACCCGAACCAGCCCGAGTACGCCAAGTCTTGGTCTGGCCGGCAGGGTTTCAATGTGTAGAGCTAGGGGCTTCGGGTTTTTAAAGCACAGGGAACAGGGTTTAGAGCGTTGTTCCTCTTCGTAAAGGATTCCCGTACTGGCTTTGCATGTTTGTAGGGGTTTATGAAGACACATCGGGTGTTAGAAAGGTTTCCTCGGGTTCTGACAATTACTTGCCCATTGTAGGGCTTTCCGACTTTTCAAGGTCTACACCGATCGGTGCACTTTATTCTGTGAAACTCTCCTTAAGCCTGCAAGGCCAGTGGTCCTCAGATGATGGTGATCATGAGGTGGGACAATGATGCTTTAAACCACCAGCACACGCAGCCTATCCGCATAATTGGGAGGGCGCGGTGGGACGTCGTCAGTAGGAGAACAGAGTCACTTCAAACATGGTGATGCTGCGGAAATGTTGTGGACAACCAACGCAACCATCAATTTCAACACCCCACCTGCTTCAGCTTCAAAAGGTGCAGCTTCGCCTCGGTGCAAATTACGAAACGGCAGGTGTTGCTACGGCCTGGAGAGATTTCGAAAAGTTATCCTCAATGCCGAACCCCGAAGGGAAACTCTGACAATCCCGTGACAATACTCACCCCCCCCTGTGTCCTACACCGATCCCACCGGCACCTGTTCTGAAAACTCATGGAAAAAAAAACAAACAAAGCTGCCTTAAACACATCCCCTTCTCTTGCGAGTCTTCGGCCCGTCTGTGCCAACATTCCCAAGAATCGGACCAAATCACAAGTTCTGGCACTTCTTAGGCATCGTGGGATCCCCAGGCTGTTTCCATTTTCCGCAGGGGCTTTATCCCACAAGTTTGGGTTTCAGGTTCCGGGCTTCGGGTGCAAAAGCTGTTGCTTGCTTGCTTTGTTGCTTGGTCGGTTGGTCGGGTCGCTCGCTCGCTGTGTCGGTTGGTCTGTCCGTCGTTGGGTTCGGGTTGGTTTGGTTGTTGTTGTCTTCGTTGCTATTCGGCAGGGTGCGCATGGGGAGAAGGGTGGGCGGGGGAGGGGGGACAGGGGCAGGCTAGAGCAGGAGGGTCAAGGGATTCCGGCCTACCGGCCCCAGCCCCACCCAAACCCCCTCTTGGAACCTTGTTTTTCGGGGGAATGTGTGATTTTGCGTGTTCTTTAGATCTGGTCTTATCTTTTCGTATGTTGTGCTTCGTTTTTGTCGCTTCTTTCTTCCTGCGGTTACCCTTGTTGGGACACGGACTATTGCGCTGGATTCTCGGCGACTATGATAACTATCATGACTTTGGATCTTACTGCTCGTACTACCATGGTATTACGAAGATGATGACTAACATCACTAGTACGCTGATAGCCTCTTGTCCTTCGTTGCTACGATTACTGATGTTGTTCAGTATTGTGATTATTGTGGCTGTTTTAAACCGTTATGATATGACCATAAAGACCCCTATAGCTATTACGAATATCGAAATTCCTACTATTACCACTATCTTTAACATTGTTTGCATTGCTGCTATCAGTGTTAAAACAAGGGGAGTGGGTCGCTGAACCCAGACCATACATCCTACACCCTGAAACCTCGTGTAGCTGCAGGGTCGGACAAGAGGTGGGTGCGCGTACAGCAGCGGTTACGTTAACACACTCAGCTAATTCAAGCCTGTTGTCTGAGCATTCGGCCGACAACTCTTGCGCCTTTGTGCGCAAGCTGTCGGACGTGTGACCTCTGCGGTCAACTTCCCGCAAGAGGATCTCCTGGGCGAATGAAGGGAGCTCTGCAGAAACATGTTCTTGCACATTTGTTACAAAATCGGATCTCATCTGAGCAGCCTTAACCCTAAAAACCCTAAACCCTACAATCCGAAAACCCTAAACCCTGAAACCCCGAACCCTAAAACCCTAAAACAAGCCCTTCCCCCAGACGCACCTCTGAAGCCTGAGCCCTCCTCTTCCGTACCTACCAAAACAAGACCAAGGATCTGCCTTTGTAATCACCTGAGTGGCGCTGTCTCTGTGGTAGATATGGGGACTTCAGAAACTGGGGGTCCTTATAATAAGGATCCTATTATTTCGGGTCATATCTCTTTTCTGACACTCCCATATGCAAGAAGAGGCGATGTCGGCTTGGGTTTTGAGGCATCTAAGCTTTAGAGTTCAGGGTTCCAGGTTTAACGTTCAGCGGTTACGAATCTCGGATGAAAGAGGACTTGGAAACGCTCAAGGGTATCCCCAAATGGAGTGAGTTGAGCTTCAGGAAGCTTACTTAATGAATTCCTCTAAGCCCTAAGCCCCACCAAATCCTAACAAACCCTAAACTTTACACGCTTCCAAGGCTTATGGATTCGGGGCTGGATCTGGGATGCCGCTTCTCAAGTTACTGCGTGCGATGCTGGCCACTCTCCTGCTGGGGCCGCTGGGGGATCGGAACTTATGTTTTGGGTTTAGGGTTTATGGTCTAGGGTCTAGGATTTAGCGTTTGGGTGCTTAGGGTTTGCGGTTTAGGGTTTAGGATGGGTTTAGGGGCTTAGGATTTAGCGTTTAGGGGTTTAGGGTTTACAGTTTTGTGGTTTAGGGCCCGGGCGTAGTGCGAAGTATCCCACGGTACACTCTCTGTGGGCTGCTTATCAAACCGTTCTGACCCGTACAGAATCACCTCTACAAGTGACTACATGTGGGTTCTAAAAAGGAGTCTTAGTCTCTTTTGGCCATCCTATTACCGCGCATCTAACACTCCTATTCCCGAAAACATACATAAACACAGGTAGCGCCTGAATGCGGAACTGGCATAGCCATCTTAGCCTGACCCCCCCGGGGCCAGCAAGACCATGAGGATCCGGTGCACCAAGATAAACAACTTCGCAAGAATACCGTAGAAACTCATTCTTGCCCCACTAGCTGATTGTCGAGCTGAAGAAGTCCTTCCCCGCACCATCTCAAATCCAGGCTTTTGCCACGAAGGAGCACTTGCATGCTCGAAGACCATTGTGGACCTTTCGGCTAAATTGAACCAAGCTAATCGTGTATCTATAAACAGGTGTCAAGCATTTCGAGAAGATGCGATCAGCCACCTGGCTCGAAACTCAAGCTACTCAGTATCCTTGATGCACGGCGTACACGGCCTATATAGGCCTTGGGCATGCATGCAGACGCTTGGTTCCGGCCGTTTGCGGCCAGGTATGATGTTGGATCAACAGTTCAGGGCTGTTCATGTTTCACATTTACGATGTAGGAATGAAGGGCTTAGGAGTCTACCGTTTGAACTATGGGACCACATATATATATATATATATATATATATATACATACCCGAAACGGTGGCCCCCTGCAGACCACAGTGCACAACATCAGGAGCCCATAGTCTTGTGCACGCAGGGGAGTTAGTTCCCTCGGGTTACAGCTCCATGTAGGGCAATTCACAATAATCCCTACAGCGTTCCTTACAATCATCCTGATAACATGACTCCTGCACTATTCTTATACTGATTCCTTGCTAGTCTGTGCAAGACTCGATGTCCAGGTTTGCTGAAACGTTGTCGCACACATGGTCAAGCAGGATCCGAGACCCTAACCTCAATTCTGAACCCTGAACCCTAGCCTCAAAACCACAGACTAGCATGGCATAGCATGGCTCACTGCGGCCTGGGTCACCGCGCAGAGTCGCAGCGATTCGCCAGTTGGCCAGGCACGTTGATGCAGAAATTCGTGGAAAGGATCAAAACTAAAACTAAAGCGTTTAGCTCATTGCCCGGCATCGTGCGCGTGTGCTTGTGGAAGAACATGTCATTTTCAGCCTTATGAGCCGCAAACTAGAGTTGCATCAAGTAACTATAGAATTCAGAGCTTCTGAACACGGAGCCGTCACTGATTTTCCCCGCACTCCCGCACTGTCTGAAATGGACGTCTACGTCATGTTCCAAGATCCCGGTGAGGAATGCAACACGGAAAAGCGGGTTGCCAAGAAATCGCCGGAAGGTTTCCGACGTCTCGTCGGGTACAGCTGGTAGGCACCCTAAACCCTGAAGCCTAAGCTGCCCGCTTATTGCATTCGTGCGCCGGTGTTGCATTGCATGAATTACCGCGTCGGTTTGACGAGCGAAAATGCCAGAGTCAAATAAAGCCATCTCAGGCTTCAAAGAGTGTTGCAAGGATCACGCTTGGGCCAGTTCGCCGTCGACTTCTCGGATGACCGCATCCTGAAGCTTGGATTTGCGGCTTAGGGGTATGCTGGTCCCACGAGTTATTGTACAGGTCTTTGTGTTAAGGCTTATGATTTTGGAGGTTGGGGTTTGGGTTCAGAGTTAGGACCAGCCGTGGGTGTCGGTAGTCGTAAGCAGAAACACCAGCAGCCACTTGTTTTCTGCGTCAGCATGTATGCTTCAGGCCGCGGGTCGTTAGAGCCAGAAGGCTTGATTGCGAGGATCTTTGCCTGCAGATTACAGCGAACAACGCAATCGGGTATTGCGTTGTTCTGCGTGAGGTTTCTTAATTGTGGTTCCTTTCTGCGTTCACAGACTGCCGTGTAGACAAAAACTTGACGGCCTTGGGGCGTGAAGCCATTTTGGGGACGCCAGTTTAAGCTGGTTTCGAGATTTTTTCTGGCTTAGTCTTGCGCATTGGTTGGTTGAGTGGTGGCATGTGTTTTTAGAATGACATCCCAGCAATTTCGAACTATTGCCAGTTCATTAGCAGCAGATCAGGGTGGTGCGAGCGCGGGATGGGAACCCCGAAAATTTGCAGAAACATTACCCCTATCAGCAGGCCACACCCCCCTTGTTTACAGCCTGCAGAATTTGGAGTCTAGGTTTTGGAGCCTGAAGGTGAGGATTCCGAGCTGTCTGCAATTGATGTCCCTCAGTGCAGCGCTTTGCGCTTAAACCCAAGCTCCAACACGTCCCAATGCTACGCCCCAAGCCCTCAAATTTCTGAGCCCCCCAGACACACCATTATCCCTGACTCCGTTTTAAACAGGATTGCCTAGCAAAGGGTCCAAGAAACACAGGGCGTCTGAGTTCCAAGCTATGGCGGCTTGAAGCTGATCATCCTCCATCAAGCCCTGCGTTCAATCTCGGTTGGTCTAGGTTCAGGGTGTACGGCGTGTACGGTCTATTGGTTTAGGGTTGGAGTTTAGGGTTTAAGGGGGCGCGCTTGTATGGGGTGCGCGACCCCGCTGGGGCCGTGCATTCTGGGGCGGCTGCTGTAAGCCTTGGGGGCTCGGCTGAGGGCTTCGGGTGGTAGTGCAACATAACTCTTTGCAGACTCCAAGGGACGAATGCAAGTCGTTCGTCTTCCGATGCGTACAGCAACCCGCAGCTCCAAAAGCCTCTTCGGACTGCAGCGCACTCCCAAAATTCAAGCAGGGGCCGCGCGGCAGCTCGGCCAGACCGGCTCTCTCCACTCAGCCAGCGAGGCCTTGATATCACCTCGCCGCCACGGGGACCTGACTGGCCGTCTCGTGGCTCCAGTTCATCGGCCCATCAAAGAAGGTCGCAAGGCTGATACATCCGAAGCCGGTCTCTACCGTCAACTTCACCACATTGACGTACTGACGGCGATCGCATCTGTGGGTCTGTTATAGACCATAATATATGCACCCAGCCCCCATTTCTCATGGGTCCATGGTCCACAGAAAAAACGTTCTACCAACAACTATAGGCGCTGGCGCATCTTTGTAAGGTTCTGTTTGAGTGACAACGATCGCGATCCCTGTGGTCTTCCACCATGTGTCACCCTTGCCTAAGTTCAGCTAACCCAAATCTACGTACGACAGCGCGCAAGTTGATGAATGTCAACCCGAACCCCCCGACTTGCCTTAAACGCTTAATAACCGCTATTGCTCACACTCACACCAAAGGAGAGACAAGATTGCTAAGGAATACACAGTGAAGCCCGCAAACACTGATAGTATAGCAACTCTTGTAGTGACCCATGTAAAACTGCTGAAAGCTGAACCAACACCTCGAGCCCGATCAACTTCCATTCTGGGCAGGGCGAAGATCACATCCTGGCTTGAAGCCGGCCAGGATGTGATCTGCAAAAACGGGCGGGACGACTTAGGGTTTAGGGTTTCAGGGATGAAGATCCCTGCGCCCATATGGTATAGAACAACATTGGGCCCGTACCGGTGCAGGAACCTCCTAAAAAGACTATCTGGACTCGGGGTTGCTGCCTCAGTGTTCCAAGAAGTACAGGTTCGGACTTTCAGAAGGAGACTTAACCTGTAAGAATCCGAGGAAGTGTAGAGTTTAGGTGGTGCAAAACAAGTGGGTAGTAAGTAGAGTTGAGTTGGTGCCCTGGCTTTATCACGGCGTGCACCTCCCTCATTTAGTATTTGACCGTCCTTTGTTTATGCTGCTGATGCTGTCAAGACCAAGAAAATGCCGGTGCGATGAAGCTCCCAAAACCCGAACTCAATAAAACGGAATCAAATCCGACAAACCATACACCGCAGACACGGAATTCAAAGCCCGACCCTGAAGCTACAACTCACAAAACCTCATTTCCCAAACCCGAATCCACACACGCAAACCCCCAAAACTCAAATCCACACATAACAAGGACCGGGGTACCACCCGCACCCTCTCCAAGAGTCTTTACCTTCAACAAACCCTTCTGAGCTCGCCGGCTGGCGAACCGGTAAAACCCGCTTAGAACGTGAACACTACATTTAGGGTTTTGGGGCCCTTTATGCTGTCATTATAATAAGGAACCCTGACCATAATATTGGTAATTATTTAGGCCCCTACAGTACCTTTAAGAGCGTTGAAAGAAACCCCGTTGAAGGAATCCCTCAGTCTCTTAGGGCTTTGAGGTTCGCGAGGGACGGGGCTCACAGCTCAATTATTTTCATGCAGCGCTCTTTTTTGGGTGCGCCGGCTTGGGTTGTTTGGGTTGAGGCTTTAGGGTTTATCTACTACTGACATACCGACATACCTACATACATACATACGTACATGCATGCATGCATACTACCTATATGTCCATACATATGCATATATACGTATATACGAACGAAATGGTATGTACATGTACTTGGACCCGCCCCATTCAGTACCCTTCTAGGCCCCTGCAGCTACTCGAAAGTTACGAATATTCGCTGATTGGGCATCAGCCCAGATTGGCGTTGGGCTTGAGGATCTCTGTTTCTGGAGTGTATAGTAAACATTAGCATCAAGCATTGAGATGTGGTTTTGCCTTCAGGGCAGAAAGCTTTCAAAGGGTCAGAGTCCTAAACCCTACAATCCGTACGGATTCCTTGCCCAACCCTCATAGTTTCTTCATTTATCTGAAGCCGAAGTGATGACTCCCATGCCTGGGGAGGAGACCGTGGCGAGGGCGTGCGGCCTCAGTCATGTCTGGCATTATGTTCGACAGCGTCTAAAACAGTTCAATCAATAAGCTGCTCCTCGTTGCTGCTACTTTTCCTGCCGGTTCCTGCTGCTGCTGTTGCTGCGTGACTCGGCAGCTGCTTCTTGTTGCTATGGCTGATGGTCGTACTCGTGCTGCTGGTTGCTGCTTGCTCCTGGCATTGGTGGGTTGTTCTTGTTGCCGCTGGCTCCTAGGGCTTTCGCTGAACTCTAAACCCAAACACCAACCTACTCTTCCTGCCAAGCTCGCCTCAGTAGCACTCGAGCGCTGGCAACCCGGAACCTAAATGTTCAAATCCTTAACCAGCCGGAGTTGCTCCACAAGCGAACCGCCTTGGAACAACAGGACTTCGCTCAAACTTCCGTGCAGGGTTCCTGCAAGGGTTCGGTCTAACCGGGATTAAAGCCGGTTGCCAGGTTTTAGGTTTTTGCGGCTTTAAATCTTCACGGTTTCAGGGTTTGGAGCCATTCCTCTTCCGCCTCTTCCTCATCCTCAGATCTAGTCTGACTGCAGGTAATGGGTGCTGGCCTTAAGGTCACCAAGCCCCAAGCCCGGTCGATTCGGGGATTAGTGCGTAATGTAGAGGCCTTGATCATCGGAATGGGTTTCGGAGTATATTGTCGCGCCGTCATATGTGGGGTACTAGCTTGGCATCCTGCTGTAAATCTGCAAAGCATGACAGATCTGTTGGTGCTACAGGTAAACCCCAAACCCTGAACCCTATAAACCCGATGCAAGCCCTACGAAACCTATCGGCCATATCACCATCAAGCAAGCTGGGCGTCTTCCTCGCCGCTACTCACAGCGCTGGCGGCACCTGGCACTGTGCAATTAAAAACTTATGTGCTTGCTACTGCTACGTTTGCCGTCGTGTACTGAACAAAGCTGACAGTTGTATAACGTATCATTTGCATTTTGCGACTAACTTCGCCAGTTTCTTCTGCTTTTAGTACTGGTAGTAGTAGTAGTAGTAGTAGTAGTAGTAGTAGTAGTAGTAGTAGTAGTAGTAGTAGTAGTAGTAGTAGTAGTAGTAGTACTAGTAGTAGTAGTAGTAGTAGTAGTAGTAGTAGTAGTAGTAGTAGTAGTAGCAGTAGCAGTAGCAGTAGTAGTAGTAGTCGTAGTAGTAGTGGTAGTAGTTGTTGTTGTTGCTGCTGTTGTTGTAATCGTCGTAGTAGTGGTAACAGTAGTCGTCGTCATCGTACTCGTAGTAGTTCCAGTACTAGTACGAGTACTAGTAGTAGAAGTAGTAATAGGAGGAGGAGCGATAGCAGAGTAGTCTGGCTGTCATCATTAGTACTGGTTGTGCTCCCCACCTTGGGCGGCACATGCCCCCCAACAGACTTTGTCAGTCTGAGAGGCTTCGACAAGGGCTTGATCGCCAGCTATGAACTGTATAGTAACCGCATAGCCGAGGCTTTCTGGGTTGGGTTGGGTTCTAACAAGATTTTTAAGATGCGGGTTGTGGGATTCTTGTAAAGCTCCGGCCCATTACTGGCTCGGCAATCCGATCCGCACAACGCTCGAAAGCACTCCGTATGACAACCATTACGTGTACTGTGCTACATCTCACTCAACGACGGATTCATACACCTGATAATAGGTGATCAGAATATGGAAGAACTTACAATATAATAGTATATCATCTGGAATTCCTTGTAATTCTATAAGAGAAAGAAGATTGAAGAATAATCATTGTTATCGAGATCATGACTTTTACTGCGTGGCTATGGGGCTCCAGGTTCTGCTCTTGCTTGTAGCAACACAACTACCTCACGGGGTTTGTCTCAAAGCGTTCCAGCCCGTAGCCGAAACCCAGACCCGAAACGATCTACTCTAACCCGACACCCTCTGAATAAGTCCCGATTCCGACAACTGAGCCCTGTAGTAATTCAACCTTACTTCGTACAACTGCAGCCTAAACGGGAAATTCCCCAAACTCTTGGCACGAAGCCCATACCCAGAGAAAAGTCAGGGTATTTGAATAAGCCTTTGTTCTTCGCATAACTTTCCCAGTGGCCCTCAGGGGTTTAGAGCCCACCTGTGCAGTTGCAAAGTGGGCTGCGGCAAGGAAAGTACGTTCCGTGGGCATGTGCGTGAACCCTCGAAAAGCTATACGACCAACACACTGGAGTTATAAACTATGACTATGCACGACAGCAAATACACACTATGATCATCTATGATTTAACTACCCAAAGGCTCTCGGATTGAATTTTTTTCGAGCGAGATTGATTTGTTCAAGCCTCCCTCCAGCTTGATCGCATCCGTCAGCACATCCTGGAGGTGCACCAAGTCAGTCTCTGGCACCTTTCGTCGGTGAGGACCTCCCTTACCACCCATGGCTCGGGAGCTGGCCCTAGGCTCGCTGCCTGGCCCTATGTTAAAACTTGATCTCCAAGCATAACGGAACTCCAGCTATTGCAAAATCGTCTTCCATGTCTGTCCAGACATTGACATTTTCGCAACTGATGGCGAGGATGGAAGTAATATTATTACGAAAACAGCATGGCAATATAATATAATGTCTGTCCAGACATTAGAAAACAACATGACAATATAATATAATGTCTGTCCAGACATTGGAATAGGAACATGACAATAAAATATAATGTCTGTCCAGACATTTTGTTATATTGCACCATATATACTATAATATGTATATACATATATATATATATATATATAGAGTAGAAAAGTATGAACGATATATGAGAAAAAAGCACACTTTAAACTCAATCGAGGAATCAACCGAGGATTTGTAAAATCAATCGAGGAATCGAGCGACGTGTCATATCAAACCATTCGAGGAATCGAGCGAAGAACCGAGTTGATCGATTGATTTACATAGCAAATAACTCGTTTTCGAGCGCCGATTGAAAAGCCAAAATATACGAGCGTTCGATCGATAATTATCAATCCAAGAGCCTTTGGGTAGTATTATGCACAAGACAATACTATATTGTATTATACTACCCCCCACACCCCCCCTCCAAAAAAAACATCGAGTCTGCAGCAAAGCCCACCTGAGCCATTTCCAAAGTACCCGCCACCACTGGCGCTGCTGCCGGCACCACCTCAAAGCTGGAGAGTATAGGTTTTGGGGTCTTCTGGGCTATCCAACCCTCAAGTAAAGCAAGCATGCGTCCCCACAGTGCCTTTCAAACCATTAAGCTGAGGATGCGGGCTGCGTCTTTGAATTTGAGAAAGAATTTATCCGAAAACTGAATGCTGGGATCAATGGCTGCCTACGAACTTGCACCAAACCACCCGGGCCAGCACCGAAGATGCTACCCCGGCTGAAAGCTGCCATGCCCCCACAGCGATCATCCTCGGGCTTTTGATCTGGCTTAGTGTTTAAGGGAGTCTTTTCTGGGTGTTGATTGCGGAGCTTGTGGCTTTTAGGGCTTTAGGGTCTGAGCTGCTATCTTCTTCGTACTTGCGGCCACATCCTACCCTCGGACGGCCATTTCATGAACCTCGATTTCGGCTTAGCCCAAGCGCCCAACAGATACCAATATCCCGAGTGACCAAACATTCCGGGACCATTCATCAGGAACCTTCACATCTGTCCCAACAGCTCCTAAACCCTAAGCCCCTAAACCCTAAACGGCGAAGGCACGGATTGAAGGATCAGGGGTCGCTGCAGGCAGGCTTACCCCCAACTTAATCGGCTTTGCTCGACCTCGAAAGGTTCAGATGTAAGGCTCATCCTCCTTCTAACTCATACTCGAGTCTATTGTATTATATCATATCGTTTGGTATACGTTCTATTGTGATGTCTATATTTTGCTTTGCTTTATGTATTTCACTGTCTTATACTTCACAATACTGTATTAATTTAATTTATATTGTGGTGTAGCATCTTGAGTTATTTTATACTCTACTAGATAATATTGTCTTACTACCCATAAACTATGTCTTTTGACCCTGCGAGAGGAGGAAGGTTCGGCCTCCCCGACGTCCCAAGTCAACGGGCCGCAGCCGTCCTCCCACACAATTTCCAAGCTTATCTGCAAGTAGATGACACAAAGAGAAACGGGAGGTATGAAGCTCCTATTCCACTCTTCTGGGCTTTGCGGTTAAGGAATGCGCCGTATATATACGCGTGCACGGGAGATGACCAAGGGGTGCCGGGTGGGTTCAGCAACCCTTCTGATTTGTTTCAAGGCCCACAGCGGCGCGTATCATCGTCGGTGGTACCAGAAAGGTGCATCTGTCGCGGCCAAAAGTTGCACTAAGTCTGGGACAAGACATTCAGCGAAGAGAACCTGAAGTCTTAGTATCAACCCTAAGCGACTTAACCACCCCCAACACTCAAAACCTTAAACCCCAAAGATCGTAAAACCGGCAACCCCCAAACCCGAAATCGGTTCTGACTGAATCGGGACGTGGACTTATAAAGATAAAGACTTCGAAAGATCTGCACGTCCTGAAGGCTGCTTGAGCTCGCAGAACGCCTGCCAATCTTCAACATCCACATGAATCTTGTGGCGCATCTTGCTTCTAGCTGCCAGGACATCATGAATGCCACAGCTCCCAACGCAACGTGGCCTCTTCTGCAGCAGGTTGGGCAAACAGGGATGACCTGCCAGAACCCCCGCTGAGGGGACGAATCTCCCGACACGTTGAGCTTAAGGCCTGCATGGGTTTTTTAGGGCTTCAGCCTAAGGCTTTGGGGTTCTGTCTCAGGGTATGGGCAACCGAACTGAAGCTAGGTCAACTCCTTTCAGCTGGGGCGCCTCCTTCCTTGCCCTTTTCCTTGCCATACCCGCCCTTACCATGGCCCTTGTCGTAGCCCATGAAGTGGTCGTCCCGGGAGTAGTAGTCCGTGCCCTTGCCTTGGCTGCACGTAACTCCAATCCGCAAGTTCCTAGACGCCCCAAAAGCCCTCGGCCCCAAACCCAAAATCCCAAGCCCTGCACGGCAACTCAAGCACCACCGCGAGTCATCGCAGCGTTGTTGTTTGGACGGAGTCCTACGTTTGTAAGGTTTTGGTCTAAGAGGTTTTCTCGGATCTGGTGCCTGTGTAGGGCTTTCAAAAACCTTGGGGTCTCATGTGCATCCGTCTTGTATGCGTACCTTTTACGATAAAGGGCTCCGTAACTAGATGCTCTTTTGACTTCGAACGCCAGTGTGTGTAAGATGAGTTGTGGGAGCCCTGTCGGGGTTAAGATGGGAAGCAGAGTAGACCTGCCAAGTTCAAAAGAGCTTTCAGTAGGAGGCTGAACCAGCAGCGGCTCAACAGGGCTTGAGTTTTACAATCTTTCGACCTCCGCAGTGTGTTCAGTGCTGGTGTTCATGCTGCTTGGGATATGTACTCCTCGGGCGCAATTGAAGATCCTGGAAGACCGAAGCCAAAACCTTCCCCACCCCCACACCCTCAAATCTTAAATTGCAGCCAAAGTCCAAAGCAACCCAGTGACGGACAGGAGACCATACCCTAGAAGAACAGAGACTGCAAAAAAAAGGATCACCTACCAGAAATTCCCGACAATCTGAGCTTAAGGCCTGCATGGGTTTTTTAGGGCTTCAGCCTAAGGCTTTGGGGTTCTGTCTCAGGGTATGGGCAACCGAACTGAAGCTAGGTCAACTCTTTTCAGCTGGGGCGCCTCCTTCCTTGCCCTTTTCCTTGCCATACCCGCCCTTACCATGGCCCTTGTCGTAGCCCATGAAGTGGTCGTCCCGGGCGTAGTAGTCCGTGCCCTTGCCTTGGCTGCACGTAACTCCAATCCGCAAGTTCCTAGACGCCCCAAAAGCCCTCGGCCCCAAACCCAAAATCCCAAGCCCTGCACGGCAACTCAAGCACCACCGCGAGTCATCGCAGCGTTGTTGTTTGGAACGGAGTCCTACGTTTGTAAGGTTTTGGTCTAAGAGGTTTTCTCGGATCTGGTGCCTGTGTAGGGCTTTCAAAAACCTTGGGGTCTCATGTGCATCCGTCTTGTATGCGTACCTTTTACGATAAAGGGCTCCGTAACTAGATGCTCTTTTGACTTCGAACGCCAGTGTGTGTAAGATGAGTTGTGGGAGCCCTGTCGGGGTTAAGATGGGAAGCAGAGTAGACCTGCCAAGTTCAAAAGAGCTTTCAGTAGGAGGCTGAACCAGCAGCGGCTCAACAGGGCTTGAGTTTTACAATCTTTCGACCTCCGCAGTGTGTTCAGCACGAACCCCCACATCGTCGTCTAGCCCCTTGCAGGGTACTTACAGTATCTGCGCTCGCCCCTTGGCCTTCGTTCGCCATCTCTTGAGTGGAAAGCCGTGGTTGCATTCTAACGACTACTGCTGGTGTTCATGCCGCTTGGGATATGTACTCCTCGGGCGCAATTCAAGATCCTGGAAGACCGAAGCCAAAACCTTCCCCACCCCCACACCCTCAAATCTTAAATTGCTGCCAAAGTCCAAAGCAACCCAGTGACGGACAGGAGACCATACCGTAGAAGAACAGAGACTGCAAAAAAAAGGATCACCTACCAGACATTCCCGACAATCTGAGCTTAAGGCCTGCATGGATTTTTTAGGGCTTCAGCCTAAGGCTTTGGGGTTCTGTCTCAGGGTATGGGCCACCGAACTGAAGCTAGGTCAACTCCTTTCAGCTGGGGCGCCTCCTTCCTTGCCCTTTTCCTTGCCATACCCGCCCTTACCATGGCCCTTGTCGTAGCCCATGAAGTGGTCGTCCCGGGCGTAGTAGTCCATGCCCTTGCCTTGGCTGCACGTAACTCCAATCCGCAAGTTCCTAGACGCCCCAAAAGCCCTCGGCCCCAAACCCAAAATCCCAAGCCCTGCACGGCAACTCAAGCACCACCGCGAGTCATCGCAGCGTTGTTGTTTGGAACGGAGTCCTACGTTTGTAAGGTTTTGGTCTAAGAGGTTTTCTCGGATCTGGTGCCTGTGTAGGGCTTTCAAAAACCTTGGGGTCTCATGTGCATCCGTCTTGTATGCGTACCTTTTACGATAAAGGGCTCCGTAACTAGATGCTCTTTTGACTTCGAACGCCAGTGTGTGTAAGATGAGTTGTGGGAGCCCTGTCGGGGTTAAGATGGGAAGCAGAGTAGACCTGCCAAGTTCAAAAGAGCTTTCAGTAGGAGGCTGAACCAGCAGCGGCTCAACAGGGCTTGAGTTTTACAATCTTTCGACCTCCGCAGTGTGTTCAGCACGAACCCCCACATCGTCGTCTAGCCCCTTGCAGGGTACTTACAGTATCTGCGCTCGCCCCTTGGCCTTCGTTCGCCATCTCTTGAGTGGAAAGCCGTGGTTGCATTCTAACGACTACTGCTGGTGTTCATGCCGCTTGGGATATGTACTCCTCGGGCGCAATTCAAGATCCTGGAAGACCGAAGCCAAAACCTTCCCCACCCCCACACCCTCAAATCTTAAATTGCTGCCAAAGTCCAAAGCAACCCAGTGACGGACAGGAGACCATACCGTAGAAGAACAGAGACTGCAAAAAAAAGGATCACCTACCAGAAATTCCCGACAATCTGAGCTTAAGGCCTGCATGGGTTTTTTAGGGCTTCAGCCTAAGGCTTTGGGGTTCTGTCTCAGGGTATGGGCAACCGAACTGAAGCTAGGTCAACTCTTTTCAGCTGGGGCGCCTCCTCCCTTGCCCTTTTCCTTGCCATACCCGCCCTTACCATGGCCCTTGTCGTAGCCCATGAAGTGGTCATCCCGGGCGTAGTAGTCCGTGCCCTTGCCTTGGCTGCACGTAACTCCAATCCGCAAGTTCCTAGACGCCCCAAAAGCCCTCGGCCCCAAACCCAAAATCCCAAGCCCTGCACGGCAACTCAAGCACCACCGCGAGTCATCGCAGCGTTGTTGTTTGGAACGGAGTCCTACGTTTGTAAGGTTTTGGTCTAAGAGGTTTTCTCGGATCTGGTGCCTGTGTAGGGCTTTCAAAAACCTTGGGGTCTCATGTGCATCCGTCTTGTATGCGTACCTTTTACGATAAAGGGCTCCGTAACTAGATGCTCTTTTGACTTCGAACGCCAGTGTGTGTAAGATGAGTTGTGGGAGCCCTGTCGGGGTTAAGATGGGAAGCAGAGTAGACCTGCCAAGTTCAAAAGAGCTTTCAGTAGGAGGCTGAACCAGCAGCGGCTCAACAGGGCTTGAGTTTTACAATCTTTCGACCTCCGCAGTGTGTTCAGCACGAACCCCCACATCGTCGTCTAGCCCCTTGCAGGGTACTTACAGTATCTGCGCTCGCCCCTTGGCCTTCGTTCGCCATCTCTTGAGTGGAAAGCCGTGGTTGCATTCTAACGACTACTGCTGGTGTTCATGCCGCTTGGGATATGTACTCCTCGGGCGCAATTCAAGATCCTGGAAGACCGAAGCCAAAACCTTCCCCACCCCCACACCCTCAAATCTTAAATTGCTGCCAAAGTCCAAAGCAACCCAGTGACGGACAGGAGACCATACCGTAGAAGAACAGAGACTGCAAAAAAAAGGATCACCTACCAGAAATTCCCGACAATCTGAGCTTAAGGCCTGCATGGGTTTTTTAGGGCTTCAGCCTAAGGCTTTGGGGTTCTGTCTCAGGGTATGGGCAACCGAACTGAAGCTAGGTCAACTCTTTTCAGCTGGGGCGCCTCCTCCCTTGCCCTTTTCCTTGCCATACCCGCCCTTACCATGGCCCTTGTCGTAGCCCATGAAGTGGTCATCCCGGGCGTAGTAGTCCGTGCCCTTGCCTTGGCTGCACGTAACTCCAATCCGCAAGTTCCTAGACGCCCCAAAAGCCCTCGGCCCCAAACCCAAAATCCCAAGCCCTGCACGGCAACTCAAGCACCACCGCGAGTCATCGCAGCGTTGTTGTTTGGAACGGAGTCCTACGTTTGTAAGGTTTTGGTCTAAGAGGTTTTCTCGGATCTGGTGCCTGTGTAGGGCTTTCAAAAACCTTGGGGTCTCATGTGCATCCGTCTTGTATGCGTACCTTTTACGATAAAGGGCTCCGTAACTAGATGCTCTTTTGACTTCGAACGCCAGTGTGTGTAAGATGAGTTGTGGGAGCCCTGTCGGGGTTAAGATGGGAAGCAGAGTAGACCTGCCAAGTTCAAAAGAGCTTTCAGTAGGAGGCTGAACCAGCAGCGGCTCAACAGGGCTTGAGTTTTACAATCTTTCGACCTCCGCAGTGTGTTCAGCACGAACCCCCACATCGTCGTCTAGCCCCTTGCAGGGTACTTACAGTATCTGCGCTCGCCCCTTGGCCTTCGTTCGCCATCTCTTGAGTGGAAAGCCGTGGTTGCATTCTAACGACTACTGCTGGTGTTCATGCCGCTTGGGATATGTACTCCTCGGGCGCAATTCAAGATCCTGGAAGACCGAAGCCAAAACCTTCCCCACCCCCACACCCTCAAATCTTAAATTGCTGCCAAAGTCCAAAGCAACCCAGTGACGGACAGGAGACCATACCGTAGAAGAACAGAGACTGCAAAAAAAAGGATCACCTACCAGAAATTCCCGACAATCTGAGCTTAAGGCCTGCATGGGTTTCTGTCTCAGGGTATGGGCAACCGAACTGAAGCTAGGTCAACTCCTTTCAGCTGGGGCGCCTCCTTCCTTGCCCTTTTCCTTGCCATACCCGCCCTTACCATGGCCCTTGTCGTAGCCCATGAAGTGGTCGTCCCGGGCGTAGTAGTCCGTGCCCTTGCCTTGGCTGCACGTAACTCCAATCCGCAAGTTCCTAGACGCCCCAAAAGCCCTCGGCCCCAAACCCAAAATCCCAAGCCCTGCACGGCAACTCAAGCACCACCGCGAGTCATCGCAGCGTTGTTGTTTGGAACGGAGTCCTACGTTTGTAAGGTTTTGGTCTAAGAGGTTTTCTCGGATCTGGTGCCTGTGTAGGGCTTTCAAAAACCTTGGGGTCTCATGTGCATCCGTCTTGTATGCGTACCTTTTACGATAAAGGGCTCCGTAACTAGATGCTCTTTTGACTTCGAACGCCAGTGTGTGTAAGATGAGTTGTGGGAGCCCTGTCGGGGTTAAGATGGGAAGCAGAGTAGACCTGCCAAGTTCAAAAGAGCTTTCAGTAGGAGGCTGAACCAGCAGCGGCTCAACAGGGCTTGAGTTTTACAATCTTTCGACCTCCGCAGTGTGTTCAGCACGAACCCCCACATCGTCGTCTAGCCCCTTGCAGGGTACTTACAGTATCTGCGCTCGCCCCTTGGCCTTCGTTCGCCATCTCTTGAGTGGAAAGCCGTGGTTGCATTCTAACGACTACTGCTGGTGTTCATGCCGCTTGGGATATGTACTCCTCGGGCGCAATTCAAGATCGTGGAAGACCGAAGCCAAAACCTTCCCCACCCCCACACCCTCAAATCTTAAATTGCTGCCAAAGTCCAAAGCAACCCAGTGACGGACAGGAGACCATACCGTAGAAGAACAGAGACTGCAAAAAAAAGGATCACCTACCAGAAATTCCCGACAATCTGAGCTTAAGGCCTGCATGGGTTTTTTAGGGCTTCAGCCTAAGGCTTTGGGGTTCTGTCTCAGGGTATGGGCAACCGAACTGAAGCTAGGTCAACTCCTTTCAGCTGGGGCGCCTCCTTCCTTGCCCTTTTCCTTGCCATACCCGCCCTTACCATGGCCCTTGTCGTAGCCCATGAAGTGGTCGTTGTAGTACCCGGCTACGCCATCTTTGCCATCCTTGCCTTGCAAAATCGCAAAGTTAACAGGGGATCCTGTATGAAGGTGCTTGCAGAAGTTAGTATAAGAAAGGGGTAAGACCACACGGAAAATGACGACAGCTACTTTCGACAGGCAAAGCAAGGGTCCCCTTTTGGGGTCCTGCATTTGTGTAGAAGAACCCTGCCTTTGCCCTTGGCTCCTTGGTCGATCCTCACGTTGAAATACTGTCGGTTGCTTTCCATGGTGCCTGGGCTCGAGATTTGGGGAGTATGTGACCTTATTGGGATCTTGAGCAACAGCGCGATCAAGTTGGATGTTTCATGAGGTATTCCTTGTCATTCCTCAGCAGAACCGTCATGAAAAATTATGAGTATGACTACGATCACTTGTTCTCTGCTGCATCTCACTCCATGGGTTATTGATACACCTGATCACCATTGTTGTTACCGAGATCATGACTGCCTGGCTTTGGGGCTCCAGCGTTCTGCTCTTGCTTGTAGCAACACAGCTCTCGTTCCAGCCCGTAGCCTAAACCCAGACCCGAAACGATCTACTCTAACCCGACGCCCTCTGAAGCAGTCCCGATTCCGAGAACTGAGCCCTGTAGTACTTCAGCAGTGGTCCGATTATAGAAGAACTTGCATCATCGAATTATGTCATCTGGAGTTCCTCATAATCTTACAAGAGATAGTAGACTGTAGAATAGTCATTGTTACCGAGATCATGCTTTTTGCTGCGTGGCTTTGGGGCTCCAGGATTCCGCTCTGCCTCACGGGGTTGTCTCAAAGCGTTCCAGCAGGTAGCCGAAAGCCAGACCCGAAACGATCTACTCTAACCCGACACCCGCTGACTCTGAATAGGTTCCGAGAACTGAGCCCTGCATTGTCAACCTTGATTCCGACAACTGCGGTATGAACGGGAAATTCCCCCAGCTCTAGGCACGAAGCCCAGACCCAGAGAGAAGTTCAGGGTACTTGAGTAAGCCTCTCTTGGGATTCGGGACTTGGGATTGGGGCTCAGCGTCGAGAAATTCAGGGCAGCAACTGGCGAGATAAGCTGCTGTTGTTGAGCTCATTCACAGCACGGTCCTCGTCCTTTGACGATTGAGTGAAGCTGCAACACGATGGGATTCAAACACCAAGCTCCAATCTGCTCGTTTCGGGCTTAGGGCTTAGGTGGCTAGGGCGTAGGGCTTAGGGCTTAGGGCGTAGGTGTAGGGTTGAGGGCTTTAGAAAAACATCGCTGAACCCTTAGCGGCAAACCTCAAAGCCTACTCTCGAGTCTCAGAGCCAAAACCCTGACAAACCCAGCCTGAGCCGAAAATCCTGAAGACCTACAACCTCAGCGGACAACTCCACATCCTAAATCCTGAAACCCCAACCCCCGTTTTAATTGGGGCTAAAACACTTTAGGATGGAGGGCTCGCGGGTTTTGTGCGTGGTCGAAGGTGGGTAGAAAAAAGACCCGCAAACTTCACTCTACCCCCTAAATCCGGAGCACTGGGACTAGATGAGCTATAGTCTAAGCTCCCATTATCCCCCTTCCGGGCCCTCCTCGCTTCCCATGGTCGGCTTGACTTTGATGCACGAAGGCTTCTTCAGCTCGTCCGACAGCAGGGTGATCCTGGCCGTACTCGTGATGAGAGGTGCGAAATCGTGCTGCAACAACCGCAGTCATCCTCAACACTCTGGCATTGCACAAGGGATTGTTGTCCTCTTTGCAGCTTCCTCGTCCTCGTGGTCCTGCGGTGATTTCCGCGTGCCGTACGTGCTGAAACATACAAAACAACTCGCTCCCGCAACACAGGACATGCAAGAGAGGGATTTATTGAAAAGAGGGAGAGCAACTGGATGCAACTGGGAAAGTCCTGGCGGATCTGCAGGCATCCACGTGCCTAGCATTGCAGTCGAGAAGCTGAAACCGAGCCCTATCGAGGGTCCCGATGCATTCACATGGTGTCTTGCCCGGGCCCCAGCGTCTTCCAGAACTTTTTGCAGCGACTCCCGGACCTCCACACAGGACTTGCCAAGGCCAATGGCCCTGAATCGAAACCTCCCCGGCCCCGCAAACCTCGGCCTTCAAGCCAAGCAAGAGAAGGGCCGGGTGCCGTGGAAGCAAAACGCCAGGCCATTAGGCATTAAAGTTCAGATCGGCTCAGCTGCTGAAGGTCGCACCTCGTCAACGGAGGCATCCCATTCTAAGGTCAGCAGCCTTCCGATGGCGTTGAGGACCACCTTTCCACGAAAGCCACAACGTGCTCAGATTGTTCATGCGCTGCCCAAGCCCCAAGCCTCGACGGCAGCCACGGCCCTTTCCGGTGAACCTGACCATCTTGGGGACTGAGAAAATTGCAAATCGTCGCATCGGGCGTCCATGCAAAATTTGCTGGAGGAAGTCTGTCAGCACTTCTGCATCGACGCTGGCCGAGTGACCTTTCTTTTCTTCCCGCAGAAACAACTGCATCGTCGCCTGACCTGGGGCACAGAACATCAGAACATGGAATCGAGAATCCGCGATCGGATCCCGACACAACCTTCAGACCTTCTCCCATTGCAGCCAATGGTCATGCTCTTGCTGGAGGAGGTGGTGCTGGTGAAGCCGAAGGCGGAATCTTGCACAAAATGGTCACGAGGCTTTTCACAACCTGAAGCGGACATGTCACTCTCTGCACCACCCTAAACCCTAAACTCGAAACAAGCAACTGCATTGAGGGGGAACCGTCCTCGGAAGGTAAGTCGGCGGAAGCAGTCCAGCACTGCTGCCACTGGTCGTTGACATCTAGAATCTGCTTGCCGAGGTCCCCTGAGAAAGGGGTAGAGGACCCCATGGCTGCTGGGCTACCCTAAAGATGCGAAAAAAACATCTCAGACTCAATCGACTGCAGCTTCGTTGCCCTTGGCGTGGGAAAGCTGCTGGATAAAGCACTTGTTGTCGTCAATGCTCGAGGTGATCCATGAGCATGAACCTGAAGCTCCCGAACAGTCGTTGCGCAGATTCAAGAGCGGCCGGAGCCCAGCAAACGCTGCCTTGTCCGGCTCCACCTCCAACCCCTTTGCTGGCGTTGCTGTTGCCTGGGCGCACGACAGCTGGGAGCAAGAAGCAAGCTGCAGAAGCAGAGAGACCTAAATCAACGAAGTTGCCTTTCGATCCCTTCCTCCCTTTGCGATTGCTCTTGCCCGAACCGCCCATGCTTCGGTCAGCAATGCTTCAGGGCAACAAACTACGCTTGAGAAGAATGGCAAGCGTCGGGACAGACATACCCTCCAACCACGCTCAACCACCTACAGATATGTAATGACGAGACTTGCGAGGTCGAGGCGTGCAACCCCAAACTGCTCCCGGAAATGGCTGCTATATTGAATTGTTTCTCTGCCTGGACGCCAAGCCCGAAAGTGATACGAGTGACGACGGTCCCAAATGCTGGTACCATGACATATCGAATCAATGTGACGATCCATCAAGACCTGAAGAAAACCCTGGACCAGTTGTTTCCTCCAGGATACGAGGAACAGCGTCATCTACATCTGCTTACATTGACATGGAGGCGGCTTCGGTCACCCGGTTGCGTTCTGGATCTTAGTCCCTTCTACTGCTACGCGTGTTCCAACTAGTACCATGCTTTGCTTCACCATGTCACTTTGTCCGTCCAGCGCAAAAAAACCCACAATGATTAGTAGCTCAAATCGGGCTTGCCTTTCCGGGAGAAACCTTCTTCGCCTCTCACGATCAGACTACTCCTTCCAAGTATGATGGTGATTGTAAGTGGAAGTGTTTTTCGTGCAGTCCCGCCGCCATCAGAATCTTTAGAACCAGTCAACCAGTCCCAGGGCTCTGCATGCATGCCTCGTGCCTTGGAGGCGAGAAGCAGATTCTAACAATACACAAACGATTCTTTGTTCATTCGACTTATAGCGAGCCACAGAGACAAAACTTAAAAGACTGTAGGTGGCATGATCATTCTTCCACGGGACCTCTAATATGACATCCTAAGTCTCCCAGGACCTCCGAAAGAACTTCCAGAGCTTTTCCAAATGCTGCAGACGAGGTTGAGATGCCTGCATCGAACCAGGGCCAGCAGCGGTGCTCCTGGAACACTTGGGTTTTGGGTTTTTAAGACTTTAAGACCGGCACCAAGGGTTGAAGATAGCTGCTGGCTCCCCGTGGCGAAGCTTCACCCACCCGGCCCCAAGTAAATGCTGAAGCCGCACGTGGAAATGCATTCATTCCACACCCGCCCCGCCCCGCCCAAGTAAAGGCTGAAGCTGCAAGTCCAACTTTCCCAAGGAAAGCAACTTATTCCACCCCCGCCCCCAAGTACAGGCGGCTGCACGTCCAACCTGCACAGGGGAAACAATGTATTCCACCCACCAGCCTGAGCTCCCCCTGCACCCTCCCCGGCAACAGAGCTCTGCCAGGAACACCAAGGCCACTTTGCGTTTAGCCTCGGAATAATCTCTAGGCGGCACAAGCTTTGCTGCGCTGTAAACAACATATCAGCAGTCGAACGGCAGTTGCGGATAAGTTAATTCGGGACGGGCGAGAACCTTACAACGGCATGTCAATCGAAGCCAGGGGTAATAAAAACCTTGTTGGTGCTACCAAAAACCCCTGAACCGGCAACCCTGTAAACCTTAAATACAAAGTCCATAAGACTACAAGCTCTAGAATCTAGAAGCCCTGTAAGCCGCAGCCCCTATCTAATCTATTTAATACCTTCAAACCCCACGAACTGCAGCGAGGTGTTGAGCTCGTTGGGGACTTTAGGATGTATCTCCTTCTTTGTCACCGGTAGCAAAGCTCTTACAACCAAAACCCTTAACCCCGAAAAAAACATGCAACCAAACTCTTCACCCCGAATGTGTTGGCGGCGCGTGACTTGATACGTGTACAGGCACCGCACGACCGTAACACCAGTCAGTGGTGTGACCCCATGGATCGTCAAGTGACTTGACTGAATCCAACATTCGTGCTTTGCTTCGTGTACGGGGACTCCACGACTAACGCCACTCGATGGTGTGACGCCATGAATCGCCGACACATAAATGAATCAAGCATTGGTGTTTTGTTACCTCTACGAAGACCCCATCGTCCATTGACCTGAATCAAACACGTGTTTGGTTGCGTGTACGGAGACGCCACGACCGTAACGCCACTCAATGGTGTGACCCCATGTTTCGTCGACTTGCATGAACCGATCACGTGTTTTGTTACGCATACGGGGACCCCACGTGCGTAACGCGAGTCAGTGGTGTGACCCCATGGATCGTCGAATGACGTGAATCGAACCCGTGTTTTGTTGTGTACGAGGACCCCACGACGGCAACGCCACTCAAGGGGTTGTGGCCCACGGATCGTCCATTGACCTGAATCGAACACGTGTGTTTTGCTACGTGGGGACCCCACGACCTTAATGCCAGTCAGCGGCGTTCCCCCGTGAATCGTCGACTGACCTGACACGAATACGCGCTTTGTTACGAGTACGGGGACACCACGTCCGCAAGGCCAGTCACTGGTGTGACCCCATGCTTGGATCGTCCACTGACCTGAATCGAACGTTCGTGTTTTGTTACCTGTCCTGGGAACCCACGACCGTCTTAGTGGTGTGACCCCGTGGATGTCGATTGATCTGCATCGAACGCTCCTGTTGTGTCACGTGTACGGGGACCCCACGACCGTAGCGCCAGTCAGTGACAGGGACAATACGCACTTCCAGGCTCAATCAAGTTGAAGGGTGGCAGGAATCGAATCCTTTATGGTATGCGACATCACAACGTGCACCCACTCGTGGGGCAACAGGCTGTCTCAAACCTCTGAGGACAACAACAGGCTGTGTGCTGTTAAATGTGCCTGTGTCTACTGAACCTCAAGTGAGGATCCTTGGACAAATTGACGCCTCTTCCGAAATCGAAAGCCGTTCATGTCGCAAGTTCGTAATACATGTCAGCTGCGAGGTCCTCCGATCCGATAGAGCTTCTGCCTGTGCGAAGGCACAGGCAGTGTGGTGACCCGGGTACGAACCTCGAACAAAAGAGTGTACGGGCCCAATTGACGGGCATCCTGGAGTAGAAGGGTGATGAGAATACATACAAAAAGCACCAGCATCAGCAACGGTGGCATCGACACGATCTTCCTCTTCCCTAGTCCCTGGCCTCGCGCGATCCGTTGTCCAGCTTCGCAGCACTGCAGCCTTTGTCAGCATCCCTAACCATAGGGGACCGGCATTTTTGCACCACAAGATACTTGAGATCTTCGCCCTGCTACCGCCATCATGCAAGCACTTGGTTCGGGGGTCGCAGTTCAGTGATGCTCCCCACGATTACGTGGCACTGACAAGGAAAAGCCTTAGATTCACCCCTCCAATAGAAGCAAAGCATTGCCCGTGTCCCACGGCAAAGCTCGGCCAGCCAAAGGCATCTCACGGGAGGACGTAAACTTCTCTTCCAGGACCCAGGACTCCCAGCTACAAAGAAAACGCCGGGCTTCGCCTGCACCCGGCAAAGCAGCGGCCTGCTTTTTGCAGACCAGGTTCCTGGGAAAAGATTTACGTCCAACTAAAGTTCGGTGACGATATGTGCCAGGAAGGGTCACGCGACATATGGCTTTTTGCGGCTCATGCTTGTGCGACTGTGTGTCCGACTCTTCTGCCGCAGTGCCACATGTGGACTATTTATTTGATCTGCGTAGTAGACTCTCAGGCAGGTGGGGGGGCCGCAATCGGGGAGACTCCAGCTCAGCGACTACAACTTGCTTCGGTCTATGAACATTTCCAGGGCACCAGGCGCAAGCGACGATTGTGACGGAAGTCATAGCTCAAAAAAGCAACACGGCTTTTGGCCAGCCCTCGTGTCGTACATGGCATGTAGGCGGGTCTTCCAGAGAGGAGATTGACCTTGTCTGACTTGGTTCGAAGCGTTTGTCAATTTGTGTCCAATTTGTTAACATCTTGAATGCCATGCATGTCCTGGCCAAGCAGCGAAATGAGTGTTCTCTCTAACCGAAGACAGCACTATCAGAGCCGCTGCTGCACGGCATGGCAGTGCGTCAAGTCCTTCAGTAGCGATTGCACTCCTTCCACACTTGCTAAGAGCGTTGAGCACGGACATGCGCACGCCTTTTGATGCTGAGCCAGCCTGATCCTAAGAATACATCTGGCACATGGTTTCATGTCCAGATGCAGCCATGGTGACCAGCGTTGGAACAGCTGCGGCCGACTTCTGAAGGGTGAAGCTCATATATGTCTCAACGGGTCATCGACGGATATCGACGGATCACTGGCATGCAGGGCCGTTCGCTACTGTTGGCTGACCAATTGTCTTTGAATCGGAATCAGGCAAGCGAGGTTGGGCCCAGTGTCTGAAAAGACCGATGAATCCTCCTGCAAACCCATGCTGAAGCCTACCACATGTCTAGTTCATGGTTGGGATAGGATCAATGTTTATTCCTTGATGGGTTTAAGAACCCATAAAAATGCAAAATGTTACGCACCTATGACAACGATGTGCCTGGCCCCCAACCTCTTTGGGCTCCGAGGCCGAACGCCGCCAAGCGCCCTCGCGCGCTCGCCAGCCAGGGGCCGCTGTTCAGCTCACTTTGGAGCCATGACAACACTCAAATCTTCGAGCATGGTGTCACGATCAGACCATCGGCCTGCCGGTGGCAACACGACGACAGGTTCCGATTTCACGCGAAAACTAAAATCGGCCGATCTCAGCGTCACGATGCCGGCCAGGCTGGGCGTCTCCAGTCCAGCAAGGTGCCGACCCTGCTCATGCGCACGATTACAGACCTGCTGATGACTTGTGAAATGCCGATGAAGAGCAGTGTTACGCTGAAGCTGCTGCACCTCAGTCGGCCGTCTCGAAAGTTAAAGGAGTCCCACCTCAAGAGTATTGCAGAGAGCGTGCTGAAGGATATTCACCAAGCGAACGTACAGGCGACACGCTACACAAGAATGTCCAGCCCGATAATCCCGGGCTGCAGATCCAGACAGCGAAGAAAGATCGCACAGACAAATTACTTCCCTTGCAGCCTGGATGATTTGTCTCGATTTTCTGTTTGCCAGAACACCCTGTACTCCGAAACTTCAATGGAACGCCTAAACCAATCCGTAAGTCCCCCTGAAGGATCGCTGGGAAACCGACCCACGGGTCCTCCTCCTCCTGGGGAGCCTTCATGGGCAAATGGTTCCACACTATGGGCTTTTTTTGTACAGGCTCTATATAATGAACCTAATGGGTTTTCGGGTATGAGTTGGGATGATGCAGAGGCCTTGGAGAGTTTAGCCTTAGGGTTGAGGGTAACAGGGGGTAAGGGGGCGGGTCACATTTTGGCATTTATCTTGGAGGAGAGCAGCCAGCAACAAGAAGCAGAAGACGGGCAAGGCTAAAGAAGGCTACACACGCACCTCGGATGGCAAACCCATTTGCTTCCGTTTCAATGCCAAGTCTGGTTGTAAGAAGGGGGCTAAGTGTCACTTTGTCCACGTGTGCACGAAGTGCCTGGGCGACCACCAGGCTACATACAGCCTACCCTTCGGGATCCACGGCAGAGGCTAGCGCAACCACCAACTGACCAACGGATAGACCCGGCCGGCTACGTGCACTGCCTCTTTTCAGGGCTTCAACGTTCTTTTTATCGGGGCTGAATGATACCACTCCCTAAAAAAAAACATAAACACTTTGATCTTCTCGCCATCGGTGTAGAAGACAGGTGGTCAGTCATGCGCGCCGCGCTGGCGCCCAGGCGGCTCGTCTGTAGGATCTTCCAATCTGGAGCTCCCGGACTTGACGAATCCACCACAGATCCCTGTCTTTTGAAATCGTGCTGACGTGTCAGCGCGTGCTCATGTCGTTCTGTCATTGCTCGAAATTGCTGCCCGTTTGAGCAAGGCCACACCGTGAGGCTTCGTGGCAGGCTCGCAGTTCTGGAAAAACAATGTTTAGACTTCGTGAAATTACGAATCGTGCCCCCACCACAATCCTTACGATCAGTTACGATATCGCTGATCTTCCTGGTGTCCGCTTGCGTGGGCGATTCTGCGCGGCAACTTGTTTGTGCTACAGAATGACGAACCTTTTTCATGATTCTTTCGTAAGGATGATTCTGGTGAATTTGCGAATTTGCGAGAATCAGAACACCATCAACATGAACGTGACGATGGATTCCGACGATTCACTGCCGTATGCCACGGATGTAACATGTTCCACCATCTCTTACGGATCCTTGACTTAGAATGTGCTGCAACACGAATGTTGCCTCTTTGCACCGGCCGAGTGGACCGTGCTACAGGACTGAGTCTCGATGAGCACCCCTGACCCTTCCTGCGCCACGGAATGTCCTCCCCAATGCATGCTGCATCAGGGGAAGTTACAGGCTCGAACGGTAGATCTGAAAGCGAAACGATTGAGAGTGGCAGCTCAAACACTCAGCTTGCCTTGTAAAAGATCCCTGACACCGTATGCCTGTAACACCACCCGAAATCTGACTATGTAGGTGAGAACGATATTGGAGCTTTGCCGTTTTGGAGGCACAGAGTGGCTGCTGCCATGGGAGGTTCCACCGAAGTGAGTAGCAGCGAAACAGCTCACCGAAAGTACGAGTAAGGTCGGTGCCGTCTCCACTGCCGGGTGGGGGTTTGGCGCCTGAGGTTTTCCGACAATCGCAGATCATCGTTTTTCTTAGTCAAGCAGATCTGCTCGAGGTGGACTTGCACTTACTCGCTCGGCGAACTGATAACATTTTAAGACCTCGTAGCGGGAAGCTTCGCTGCGTGCTTGGGCATGTCGACGCTGGATCGCTACAAGCGCCCCACCCATTGCGTCCGGGAGCCAGTGCAATGCCGTGGGCAGTGCCAAAGCCTGAGGACGTCCCACAGCCAACAAACAATCACAGTAACATGAGCAAACGTCAAAGCTCCGGACCCAGGACGGAAAAGGGCCAACCTCGGCGCACAAGAAATTTACCATCGGTAGATTTAAACTTACGAATGCAAGCACTCGTAGGACACTGAGTTTGAAACATGTAGTCGTTCGCAGAACGCGGCACTGAAGTGTATGCAGTTCTGCCTAAGCTCCGGCCCAGCATCACCAGCCAAGTTCTGACAGCGACGACGGTCAGTGGGACGCCGGCCGAATGATGCAGTAGTCATCGGCACGCCTGTGAATAGGCAACTTCCCCCGGAAACAAGCCGAGACTCGGGCTCCCGACCATTCGAACTGCATCTGGCGCAGGAGCTGCCGAATCTGACAGTGTTGGAGCTAATTACATCACATGCTGATCACACATGATGGCATCGAAAGGCCCAAAGACGCCTCAGAGCGACTGAGCGGCGTCTTGAAGACGAACGCGTGCGCTGGCCGGCCCTTTGCCCCCGGCCTGGCGGAGATGGGACTGCCTCTCGCAAAAAAATGCCGGGTAGGCCTGCATTGCCATATGCCGGTGCAAGGGTGCAGCGGAAAATTGTGTAGATCAAGTACCACTCCCGGCCGAGGACCTCAAGCCACTGCGTTGCGGAACGATGAAGGTCGCTTCCACTTTGCCTCCACCGCGACGTGGTACGCGCCGTAGCCGAAGGGTTCAAGCCTCAGAAGCACCGACCGCAGCGGCAGAGGCGATCCTGCACGTGTGGGGCCCTGACACGTGGTTCGCACCGCACAGCCATGGCAAGTTGTAGAGGTTTACCTTCACTTCCTCGGACAGCATCGCGGACACAAGCTCAGACATGCTTCAACATGGGTCACAGTCTGACATTCAGTCAACTCCTGCTCTGCACGTTTTGAAATGCACCCGCCGCAGTGTCCACATATTCGGGATTGAGATTGAATGATTATCTTTTGCTGCTGCTACTGCCATCGTGTCTGCAAAGGTGCGCCGCTCTGCACAACCTGGAGCAACGAAAAATCACTGAATCACGCGCACACTTTGCCAGCATCGCATCATCAGCGGTTCGCACTCACATGTAAGCCAAGGTTGGGGACCTAGGGGCAATGGGGGGAGTAGGAGGGTGGCGGGATAACAGCGACCACTTAATCGGCACACCCGAAAGACGCAGTAAGAAAAACAAAAACAGATGCAGACTCACCAACATGCACACGATGGCTAAGAAAGATCTTTTCCTGCGACTACTGACTACTCTGTCTCTACACTCTGGTCGCAACATTTGCGATCTGGGGCTTTAACCGTGGTTTCCATTGGTGTAGCGTACTAAGTAAGAAAAACAAAAACAGATGCAGACTCACCAACATGCACACGATGGCTAAGAAAGATCTTTTCCTGCGACTACTGACTACTCTGTCTCTACACTCTGGTCGCAACATTTGCGATCTGGGGCTTTAACCGTGGTTTCCATTGGTGTAGCGCTTAGGTTTTAAAGCTCCCTCCATGACTTCCATGCTAATACAGATTTGCACCGTACACAGCTGAGCCGGCGCTTTGAACGCGTGGTTTGGTTGGGTGAGTGGCTTTGTAGGAGCGAGAACATGGAGCTGACTCTCCGTCATGAAGTGCTTCGAACATTCAGGCTGCCACCTCGCCAAAATCACAATCGATCACCTGCAAAAAAAAACATTCCATGTGTGGATAGGCCGAATGCGCAAACATGCTGAAACTCTCCCCACCTCCGGGTCTGAGTCAGCATGCGAAACACCATCCTCGCAAAGCACATGCGAGCGCCGATTTCTGCAAGAAAGCACAACTCGCATCAAGCATGCCCTGACCCCAGAACCAGTTCCACAGTCCACTGAAGCAGGACATGGCTCGATTTCTAGACCAACCTTGGGCTTGCTTTAAAAACAAGAGTGAGTGCTCCATGGCGAAACTCAAAGCCACTTGTAAAGGCCAGTGAAACTCAACCGGACATTCGTCCTCAGCTCAGCAGCCGAAGCGACAAACATGGAAACGTGCTCATGGTGCACACACGCGATGCAGCTCAACTTCTTGGAGTCTTGTGGCCGCTGCCAACGTTCGCAAAGGCTATGCTTGGGGTTTAGCAAATCTTCGATGGTCCCGAACCGTTAGGTCCCGGATGTGATAGCGCTGACACTACGCCACGTCTCTCCCGTTCCCTTTTGCCTCGATGGGGACGCCAGGCCCAGAACCCTTCAGATATGTGCACGTGTGCTGTCCGCTGTGCAGGCCACACGAAATTGCCTTCTAGAGCATCTGTAAAAGCATCTGTATACTGTGCAAACCACACGAAACTGGGGATCTGTAGACTGCAGGCCACACGAAATTGCTTTCCAGAGCATCTGGAAAAGCATTTGTATACTGTGCAAACCACACGAAACTGCCTTCCAGAGCATCTGTATACTGTGCAGGCCACACGAAATTGCCTTCCAGAGCATCTGTAACAATATCTGTATACTGTGCAAACCACACGAAACTGCTTTCCAGAGCATCTGTATACTGTGCAGGCCACACGAAATTGCTTTCCAGAGCATCTGTAAAAGCATCTGTATACTGTGCAAACCACACGAAACTGCCTTCCAGAGCATCTGTATACTGTGCAGGCCACACGAAGAATTGCTTTCCAGAGCATCTGTAAAAGCATCTGTATACCGTGCAAACCACACGAAACTGCCTTCCAGAGCATCTGTATACTGCGCAGGCTCCAGAGCATCTGTATACTGTGCAGGCCACACGAAATTGCCTTCCAGAGCATCTGTAAAAGCATCTGTATACTGTGCAAACCACACGAAACTGCCTTCCAGAGCATCTGTATACTGTGCAAACCACACGAAACTGCCTTCCAGAGCATCTGTATACTGTGCAGGCCACACGAAATTGCTTTCCAGCGCATCTGTAAAAGCATCTGTATACCGTGCAAACCACACGAAACTGCCTTCCAGAGCATCTGTATACTGTGCAGGCCACACGAAATGGCCTTCCAGAGCATCTGTAACAGCATCTGTATACTGTGCAAACCACACGAAACTGGGGATCTGTAGACTGCAGGCCACACGAAATTGCTTTCCAGAGCATCTGGAAAAGCATTTGTATACTGTGCAAACCACACGAAACTGCCTTCCAGAGCATCTGTATACTGTGCAGGCCACACGAAATTGCTTTCCAGAGCATCTGTAAAAGCATCTGTACACTGTGCAAACCACACGAAACTGCCTTCCAGAGCATCTATGTATACTGTGCAGGCCACACGAAATTGCCTTCCAGAGCATCTGTAGCAGCATCTGTATACTGAGCAAACCACGTAAAACTGGGAATCTGTATACTGTGCAGGCCACACGACATTGCTTTCCAGAGCATCTGTAGAAGCATCTGTATACCGTGGAAACCACACGAAACTGCCTTCCAGAGCATCTGTATACTGTGCAAACCACACGAAACTGCTTTCCAGAGCATCTGTATACTGTGCAGGCCACACGAAATTGCTTTCCAGAGCATCTGTAAAAGCATCTGTATACTGTGCAAACCACACGAAACTGCTTTCCAGAGCATCTGTATACTGTGCAGGCCACACGAAATTGCTTTCCAGAGCATCTGTAAAAGCATCTGTATATTGTGCAAACCACACGAAACTGCCTTCCCTTCGAGCATGTGCACACTGTGCAGGCCACACGAAATTGCTTTCCAAAGCATCTGTAGAAGCATCTGTATACCGTGCAAACCACACGAAACTGCCTTCCAGAGCATCTGTATACTGTGCAAACCACACGAAACTGCTTTCCATTCTGGAAGGGCGAAGTTCGAGTTTCGTTTCTAGGGCTTCCAGGAGTGGGGACATACCCAAACTTGAGACTGATTCATGCAAGAGCTGGCCTCGGCACTATCGCGTGGTTCCAGCACGTCTCTCGCAGCGGAGGCTCCCTTGCCCTCGCCAGCAGAACGCCCAGCTCTCCATAAAATCGATCCAGAACTCTTGCCCGAGGGAGCTCAAGTGCCTCGTAGAGGAGCTCATCTTCGCCGGTGGAAGCCTCATGAAGCAGGCGACTAACAAGAGCGTAATAACTGATACAACAGAAGGCGCGATGGACATAGTCTCGGGTCTCGACGCTTCCACCTTCGAACTCTGTCGTGTCCACCTGTGAAGACAAGAAAGCAGCATGTTCTCCACTAGGCTAGTGTTGCAGTTGCCACACCGCCCCTCAGCATGTTGCTGCTTGAAGCTGATGATGATGATGATGACGATGATGACGATGACGATGACGATGACGACGATGACGATGATGACGATGATGACGATGATGACGATGACGACGACGACGATGACGATGATGAGGATGAGGATGAGGATGAGGATGAGGATGAGGATGAGGATGAGGATGAGGATGAGGATGAGGATGAGGATGAGGATGAGGATGAGGATGAGGATGATGGTGATGATGGTGATGATGATGATGATGATGACGGCGATTCCCCACTTCTTAACGCCTTATTGCTGTCATCGGCATGCTTATTGTCTGGAACGAACAAGCGAGGCCCTGCGAAGCCTCAGAGGCATCCAGGGAGGGGTCCAGCAACTCCCAATAAAAAAAGAGGTCATTCCTAAGCGTGACAGAGTACTGCAGGATGCTGAGGGCTGCTGCGTTGGGAATGAGGGGCACTTGCTGCATTTGAGGCTGAGGCCGGCTTTCCACAAGCTCTAAGGACTCTAATGTTGCCTCTGAAGCGTCGAAGTCGAAAAAAAGACCTGGGCTTGCAGAGGGCCAAGAAAAGGTTCATGCCAGTCGTGGCATAAGAATGCTGGACCGAGCGTTCCATGTGAGGAATGTAAGGCTCGGGCTTCATCCGACCTCAACGTGCCCCGGCTTCGTGGTGTGGGAGAGTGAGTTCAAGTTGAAGGTTCAGGAAAGTTCAGCAGTTAGGCGCCGGAGTGCAGGCTCGGGGGCTTAAGGGTTGTTGTTCTGAGGTTAAGGCTTCGCAGCTGCACAACAGTGCGATACGGCTGATGGTCAAAACCCTGCCTTACCCCTTGTACGGAATCTACCATAATTCCCATACTTTAAGGTATTTTAAGGTCAGTCAAGTAAAGCAGGATTTTGACATTTTGACCATCAACCGTAGCAACCGGGGTACCAGGAAGCGCTGTCATTTCGGACATGCGGAACTGAAGTTCAAAGGGCCCTGGAACCCAAAATTCAACATGCCACCGACCACTCAGAATCCTGACGAGTCCCGTGAAAAGCACTTCAACGCTCGGAAGGTGAGCCCATGTAAGCCCTTTAGAAACCCCATGCGATGTCAACTTGCACGCGCTTTGCATTCCCACAACCGCCTTTCAATGCCGTAGCGCCATAGCGCTTCGAACATTCGATATCACGAATTCCAAACCTCTTACAGCATGTGCCTGCCCTATCTGCGCCCGCCTCGACGCCAGAGCGGCTCTCGATTGGAGACTAGGCCACGTGCCCACGTCGAGTGGAGCTCGGGAGACCCAGCGAGGGAACCTAAATGGTCGGGTAAATCTTACCATTAATCCTCCAAGCAGGGCTTGAAGCGCCAAAGTCGAAATCCCAGAACCCGAAGTTGCAACTTGCCAAAGATGGGTTGTATTCTGTTGTTGTGAAGCATCCTGGGAAGCTCTATAGGACAGGGATGGACAGGGTATAACTTCTGTAGCGTGCAGAACTGAGTTACGACAAGAAGTGACAATCCGTGAAACATGATTTCCTACCTTCCCATCAAAGCAAGGCTGCGGATGCATGAAACTCGTACGCCAACTTCCTCAACTTCACCAACACCCCACGGCATAACCGCATAACCCCTACATCCTCATGAAACACACAGGCTTAACTGACCCTTGAACTCCCTCTGCATTCTTTTTGCTGGCGCCTGAATAACCTGTGCGGTCAACTGCCTTACATGCCTTACTTTCGCCCTGCACTCTGCGCCCTGCCCGATACCACGAAGGCCTTTTTCGCAACCGTCAAACGGCTCAAGCTTGAGAGGTCGTGACAGCCTCCAGTCTCGTTGTACCGAACCTAGAGAGGTTTCAAAAGCCAGGGTTGCAGCCTGCTCAACAATCCGGCTTGGTCACTTGGCCCCGTACCTCCAGTCCGTCATGGCTAGACTAAACGGAACACAGCACTTGCCTACTTGCGAACTGCAAGGCTCGGACATCGGTGATGAATTTGGTCATCTGCTCTGCCACCTGCCACTGTCAAAAGGCAAATCGCGGCAAGTCAATGGTTGGAGATCCGAAAGATCCAGAACAAGGCCTTCAGGTTGTTTGGGTTCTTGTCCGGATGCCATTTGCGCAACCTGGAAGAACACTGCAAGTTGCTGAGCGAACATCAGCTAGGCTCCAAGTTGCGATTGCCAATCCCAAGAACTTCCGCCCCTGCGGAGCCCTGGACAGAGGTCCCCTGGCGCCGTCTCGATCCTCTCTAACACTACTAACTAGGGTAAAGGGCCCTCAGCCCTGTAAACCCGGAACCCCCAACCCTGGCAGCCATCTGCAGCCACGAGGCAGAGTTCGCCAGGCCTTTCTGGTGGCCGGCGACTCCTGGGACTGGGCATAAGAAGCGCTGGCTTCCGGTTTTTTCAGGGTTCCAAGCTACCAACTTGGGGATTTAAGGTTTGCGCCGGGAAACACCCGACCATCAGGCTGAATCTCTTGTGCCGGGCATCCTCCGAAGTTGTTGCGACATACACACCATCTCTAATGTTGTCCCATGATTTTTGTGTAACCCCCACCCCTCCCCCCACCCACCTCAGCACTTGGATGTCCCCCGATAGTGTGCGAAGTGGATTTTGGCATGACCCGACAAGCTTATCGTAACACAACTCCGGGAGCGCGATCTCGCCGAACAACTCCCGAAAGAGCACTTCACGCAAGCCGCCCCCACCTAAACCCCAATTCCCGCTATATCCTATACCGACTGATCCAATCTGTGCAATGGCAAACTCAGAAAATCAGATGCGAAAACTGCGAAGGGCGATTCGGGAACCGGGATTCGGGAACCAACAGACTTCAGAAACCCGATTCGCGAATCGTGTGCGGAATTCGGGAACCTCGAACAGTTCAGGCGCCGCAGGACGCTTTCGCGCTGTTCGTGGATCTTGACTTGCGCGTTGCGGGCACGCCTTTGCTAAGTCAAATATACCGGCCCGCAAAACCCGCCGTTTCGCTGGTCGAGCAAACCCCCAACTCCTCATGAAGAATTTCTAAAGTTGTCCCCAAGATGATCTCTAAAACGCGGACGGCAAAGAGAACCATAAAGGCATCCCGAAGATGAAGCCATAGAGCTGTAGTAGTAGTGGTAGTAGGAGGAGAAGGAGGAGCAGTAGCAGGAGCAGTAGCAGTAGCAGTAGCGGCGTAGTGGTCGTCGTCGTCGTCGTCGTCGTCGTAGTCGTAGTCGGAGTCGGAGTCGGAGTCGGAGTCGGAGTCGGAGTCGTAGTCGTAGTCGTAGTCGTAGTAGTAGTAGTAGTAGTCGTCGTCGTAGTAGTAGTAGTAGTCGTAGTAGTAGTAGTAGTCGTAGTAGTAGCCGTAGTAGTAGTAGTAGTAGTAGTAGTAGTAGTAGTAGTCGTAGTCGTAGTAGTAGTAGTAGTAGTAGTAGTAGTCGTCGTAGTAGTAGTAGTAGTAGTAGTAGTAGTTTTTGTCACCTACATGGCACACCACAGGCAGCTCCGCAGGGAGTAGTAGCAGTACCAGTAGCAGCAGCAAAAGGAAGTAATGGAAGTACTAGGGACCTGAGAAAAGCCGAGCAGGACGGAACCGGAACGATGAGGGTGGAAAAAAGAAGCTTCAAAGCGCAAAGATGGAAAGCAAAAGAGCGAAGCCGAAAAGCGGAAAAGCAGAGAAGCAGAACAAGCCCAAAAGCCGAAGCACAAACCAGCATAAAACGATAAGCAAACAACAGCCGATTGTAAAACGGACAAACGACATCCAAGCATAGAAAACCCAAAGAACAACTGCAAAAACAAAAAATAACAAGCTAAAATAAACATGCCTCCCTTCCGAATGGGTCTTGGGTCGGCGGAAGCTTGCCTGCGCCTGGAAAATTGGCATTTCCTGAGGACACCGATGGTCGCATGATGTCGCATGTCAGCAACTTGACACGTGTCACATGCGGTCAAACCAGCAGCCCGCCTCCCGGATTTTTGACTTTGTGTAAGTCAGCTCGGCTTGCTCTCGAAGCAAGGTCGCTTGTGCGACCTTACGCTGCCATCATCGCTGTCATTGCCGATCATTGCCGCATGCACTGTGACAATATGCCTCATGGAAACCATGCTAAACCATCCCGATGCACCCCTGCCCATCACCCATGCAACATGGACTGCAGACATTCGAAGCCAGGCTGCATTGGCTGCACCGTTGAGCGACAGGCGCTTCAGGCGGTCGATCAAATTAGCCTGCACGACTACGGTCTTGCGGGCAGCATAACCGAAGGTGATCCCTCCCGAAACGATGATGACGATGCTGCTGATGCCAAAGCGTGAAGTTTAGCAGGAGTTGTTGTTTTGTGGAATGCCACGCTGATGGTCGCTGTCGAGCGGGTCTGTTCTAACCTCTTGCACGGCGGTATCATACAGACACAGACCAAAAGCCGCTCGAAAGACGCAACAACTTAACAGGTCTGTATGACAAGCGATCTCCCCTCCACGGCACACTGCTGCTACTACTACTACTACTACTACTACTACTACTACTACTACTAGTCGTAGTGGCAGTAGTAACTCAGTAGTAGCAGTAGTACAAGGAGTAGCAGTACAACTAATGGCAGTAGATGTAGCAGTAGTAGCAGCAGCAGCCGCAGCAGTAGCACTAGCATTAGCTGTTGCAGGAATAGTAAGAGGTGGAGTGGTAGTAGTGGTAGTGGTAGTAGTGGTAGTGGTAGTAGCAATAGTAGCAATAGTAATAGTAGTAGTAGTATTAGTAGTAGTAGTAGTAGTAGTAGTTGTAGTAGCAGTAGCAGTAGCTTGTATGGAGCTCTCTTTTTCCTGTCCGGCGGACTCATGCCAAACGCAGTGACGCTGGAAACCAACCCTGAGCAACAACTTCCCGTCTGCACCCTTCAGTCAACGTGTCAAGAGTAGCCGTTAGAAGAATTCCATGTTGTGGGTGAATCTCTGGCTAGTGATATGCTCGCCTGTGCTGCAAGAGGATCGCATTGCATTTGAGGAAATTTTAACAGTCAACTCGGAGGAAAAAACTGAAGAACTGACTTCTGTACCGTTCGGTCAACATGATACAAGTAATGCTTCGAAAACGGTGTCAGAATTGGCGTGCAATCGACCGCACAGTGCCCGATTGCAGTGGAACGTGCGCAAACAATGCTCCTGGCCTTTGCTGTAGTTGTAGGAGGATGACTGTCGTTCTCCTGTCCGAGATCATTGCCCGTCGAGGCAATTCTAAAATTCAGCCCTAAGCCCTAAGCAGAAGACGGTGCTTCTGCAGCACAAATATGGTAGTCCGCAGAACGAGGTCAGGCCCGATCTGTGAAAATGCTGCTCTGCACCAATGCGACGGGACGTCACGGAATTGACTTGCTGCCGGCCTTAGTTTGAGGATCGAAGCCTGCCTTCTCCTGTCAGGGCTCGTTGCCGGTCGACGCTGCCAAAAAAACTCATTCAATCTTAGTCAACACCGGAAAAGGGCCTTGCTTCATCATGCCTCGTTCAAGAATTCAGAAGTGACGCTCTGCAGGCCGATGGAACTGACTCCCTTGACCGTAAACCCTTAATCCTAAACCCTGAACCCTAAACCCTAGCTGACATGCTTGCGGCCTTTGCTGCAGAAGGATCCTTCCCCTTCTCCTCCTCCTGCTTGGCGAGCCGAGGGGACCCTTTGAGCTTCAGCCAGCAGAGTCATCCCGTCCCGTGTCAGAGAAATCGTGTAATGCCGGTGGCTACAGTGTTATGGCATCAAGGGCCAATTCTGGGTCAGTCTGGCCGTCGCTCAAGATACGCTCCGTCACAGATATTTTAGGCACTCGTCGTTTTAAGGCATGCACCAAACATAAGCGTTATTCATGCAGAAGCAGGCCTCGGCCTCTATCTCGCGAGTGGAGTTTCAAGTACCGACAATGGACAACATGGACGGCCGAAACTGCTACCACATCCACTCCAGCTAAGCCCTGCTTTGCCGACAATTCCTATACACACCCGCACATGCTGCTGGCCTGCGCTCCAGGAATATCTGAGCTTTCTTTCTCCTGTCCAAGAGCGTTGCCAATCAAGTCAAGTAAGATGGAAAATTCAATCCCCAGGAGAAGACTATGCCCACTATGTTTTTGCAGCCAATCCATCATGTCAGTATTCTGCTGGCATGATGCTTGCCTGTGCTGCTGGAGGATCATTTTCCGCCTCCTGTCCGTGGACTTTGCCAGAAGATGGAACTGCAAAACATTCTGGGCTTCTTCACCCTTCGTTCAACAAGTCAGGGATCGTACTGTGCAACGCGATGACAGACCCGATGCGCAAACGAGGAATTCAAGTTTCGGAGGAAGCTGAGGATGTTTGTAGGGGCCTGTCTGCTGTTGCCAGATCGCCATACCACCGTGGCCCCAGCGTTGTCCACCACACCCTGCCAATGATGGGGTGGTCTCTTCCTCTCTGGCTGTGGAGGTTGCATCTTCCGTGCTGTTGGCGCATTCTGCACATACATTTAGTATCATACTCTGCGTTTTCCAGCTCGCTAAACCACCGAGGCCCCAGCGTCATCCACTCCACCCTGCCGATGACGGCGCGGTCTCTTGCTCTATGGCTCTGGATTTGAATCTTCCGTGCTCTTCGCGCACTGCTTGCAATAAGACCCTGGCGTCCTCGACGATGTCAGAAGCCACCGTTTCAGCGGCACGAGGTTGCTCCTCTCCAATCCGGGCTGGCATCTTCATGTCTGATGTGCTACCAGTTCTTCACATACATTTAGTATCATACTCTGCGTTTTCCAGCTCGCTAAACCACCGAGGCCCCAGCGTCATCCACTCCACCCTGCCGATGACGGCGCGGTCTCTTGCTCTATGGCTCTGGATTTGAATCTTCCGTGCTCTTCGCGCACTGCTTGCAATAAGACCCTGGCGTCCTCGACGATGTCAGAAGCCACCGTTTCAGCGGCACGAGGTTGCTCCTCTCCAATCCGGGCTGGCATCTTCATGTCTGATGTGCTACCAGTTCTCCACATACATTTAGTATCATACTCTGCGTTTTCCAGCTCGCTAAACCACCGAGGCCCCAGCGTCATCCACTCCACCCTGCCGATGACGGCGCGGTCTCTTGCTCTATGGCTCTGGATTTGAATCTTCCGTGCTCTTCGCGCACTGCTTGCAATAAGACCCTGGCGTCCTCGACGATGTCAGAAGCCACCGTTTCAGCGGCACGAGGTTGCTCCTCTCCAATCCGGGCTGGCATCTTCATGTCTGATGTGCTACCAGTTCTTCACATACATTTAGTATCATACTCTGCGTTTTCCAGCTCGCTAAACCACCGAGGCCCCAGCGTCATCCACTCCACCCTGCCGATGACGGCGCGGTCTCTTGCTCTATGGCTCTGGATTTGAATCTTCCGTGCTCTTCGCGCACTGCTTGCAATAAGACCCTGGCGTCCTCGACGATGTCAGAAGCCACCGTTTCAGCGGCACGAGGTTGCTCCTCTCCAATCCGGGCTGGCATCTTCATGTCTGATGTGCTACCAGTTCTTCACATACATTTAGTATCATACTCTGCGTTTTCCAGCTCGCTAAACCACCGAGGCCCCAGCGTCATCCACTCCACCCTGCCGATGACGGCGCGGTCTCTTGCTCTATGGCTCTGGATTTGAATCTTCCGTGCTCTTCGCGCACTGCTTGCAATAAGACCCTGGCGTCCTCGACGGGGTCAGAATCCATCGTGCCCTGCAAGCATGCAGCCGCACAAGAGTACTTCTATCCAAGCCGGGCTAGCTCTCTACATCCTACCTGGACCCTATTGAACCTCCTGATGGTGTTCCTTATGATTTCCTTATCTGAATCCTTCTAAGGTCCTTTTGGGGGTTAAACGGTTAAAGCAAACCCCGAAAGATCTCGAACCCCAACAAAGATGCTGCCATCAAAGCTCTACTCCTACCAAGTCCCAGGCAGCATCCAAGGGGTTTCCGGGGTTGGATCCAGGCTTCGGCAATTCTTCGCGGGTTGGGTTCAAAGTTCCTGGAGTTCAGTTTGGGGTTTACGGTTCAGGTTTTTGTGTTGAGCGCTTCTTCCATCTAACCATTTAGCGTCTAGGGCCCTTGCTTGAGGGGTCTAAGGCTGTAGGTGTCGGGTTGCAGGACTTCGGGGTGTCCGTTCATCCGCTATATCGCCGAGGCAAAGGCAGCGGCAACGATGTCCGACCCGTCAGCGGGGCCCTCTTCATTCACGAAAGCCTGTCACTGTAGGCATTGAGGGTTTGGAGCTGACTCCATACACAGACTCGGCGATGGAATTTTGTGCCGAGGCCACGTCATCGCAAAAGACGTCCAACACACCAGCGGGTCCCACTTCGTTCACGAAGCCCTGACAAGGTAGAGCTGCACTGCGAATTTCAAGGGTCTACAGGCTTGCACTTTGCTTCCAGTTGAAACTTGAAGGGGGCGTTCGAATCCAGACTCCAGATGCAAACACGACGATGGAACTGTATCGACTCCGTTTCGCTGAGGCCGCAGCATGATCAACGACCCCCGAGTCCTTGCAGATTGGGTCGAATTTCGGGATCCTCAACCCGAAACCCTCAAAATAGAGTGTCTACGCAAATGCGACCTGAAACAAGGACCAAGCTGCCGCACCCTAAACAAATAGAGTGTCTGAGCGTCGCTCATCAAGAACGATATCCTTCTCTAACATCCGAACCTCTAATACGACCCTCTTCTTCCTACGCAGGCACGAAACCCTAGATCCTAGCATTTTTCAAGTTGTTGGATTCGCGGTGTGGCCTCCCACCCTCCTGGCAGGGGGTTATGCTAGGGCGTTGAGTTTAGGGTTTAAACAAAAAAAAGCTTTCACAAGGTTCTTTTCTGGTAACCGAAGCACTGGAACTTAAAGTTACCTTCTCTGGGTTCCCACTGTTCTGCAAGGTGGCATTTGTCAGGATCGGTCGGAAAGTGGGTGCCTGGAGGTGTGTTGAGGTCTGGGGAGTGCTAGTCCTTGCAGATCTGTGCTGTGGCGGCCGCGGTTGTGTGTTCTCCTTTATCGGTTATCGCTCTAACTGCCCAGGAAGAGTTCGTGGCAACATGAGTGACCAGAACGTGGTGACGAAACACCGAACCTGTGCACATGATCCAAATCGGATTCTTGCTGGTGAGTTCAGCCGAACTGCAAAAAGAGAGGATTGACTCCATCGATATGCATTTTTACGTGTACGTGTGTTGTGTGTCTATATATGTACATATATTGATTTGTATATATTACACACATGTACATATGTCCATCCATCCATCCATCCATGCATGAAGCCGGAGAGCACAACACCACTAAAGGGAGGAATCCCAAACCCAAACTCAGAAACCACACAATTCGAGGGTGAATTGCCCCCTCCCGGCAATAGGCCTCCTTCGCGACAAACGGTCGCCAATTCGGGTTCCTGGCGCTTCCGTTTTCACCGTGCGGTGCTCATTCGGCGGCTTCAAACCAAAACACCTGGACCTGACCTCAATTCAGACAGCCACCAGCATGGCTCTAGGGAGCGCATGACACACCGGTATGAAGACGCTGCAGGACATTTCGGCACGGTTTCTTGAACGGACATCGTAATCCGCAATCCTACACCAAGCCTACCAATCCTGAATGCTTCGATATTCAGCCGAAGCTGCAGGATCGGGCAGGCGGCCTGCACCAAGGCCAGCAGCTAACTTGCGACTTTCAGGCGCTGGTTTCGCGACTTGAGGCGCTACTGCACGGGTCACGACTGAACTGGGGAGGGCAAGGAGCAGGAGGCGACAAACAGGACACGCAGGAAACGTTCGGTCGTTCACTGCTACTGTAGCGACGTTGCTTCTTGACGTTTCTTGCTTTTGTGTTGTGTCTTTGCGGATGTAGCCCCAGGGGCCGAGTGCACTCTGCGTGATGCCCTCCCAAGCCTCGGCAGCGTCGAGGGCGCGCCAGTTGAAATAGGCGTCGCACCTGAGCTTGAAACAGGGCTACAGGTCATGCGCCGAAAAGGTCGCACCAGTCGGTGCGTGGGAATCTTGAGCAAACTCTGCAACTAAGGCTGGGGCCTCTCGGCCCTTTCCAACTCATCATAATCAAAAAACATCTTCGGCAGGGTTAGGGGTTTGTTGGTGAGTTTTCAAGCTTTTTCACGGTGAGTTGAGCATCGTCAGTATTGTGAGGGTTGGCATTTTTCAGCATTAGGGATTGTAATGCTCAGGATTTCGGACAGTAGGGCTTTGGTCAAGGACCTTATCTCGGCAATAAGCGGCTGTAATGGCATTTTCATGTTGGGCTTTCAGGGATTCTGGGCTTCAGTGCAGCATGTCTAAGTCGAAGCCTACCCCGTCTACCCGAGTTCAGAGTCTCGAAAACAGCTGTGGCGATTCACAGCATGCACTGAGCGGAGGAAGTAACATGCCCAACTCTGTAAGAAAATCATTGTGAGCATATATGCTCGAAGCCTCAAACTCAAGCCTGCAATGGAAATCTTGGCTAAAATAATTGCCAAAATCAATGTCAAACTGACAACGAAAATCATGCAGAATCTCCAGCCTCGGAGCATGGACTTATTGCAAACCCTCGCAGAGATTCGCTTCCATCAAGACTCAGAGGTCTCTGACGTTGGATTCGGCAACCCTGTCTGCGACAAGGCTGCAGTAGCCACACCAAGCACTCCGGCAGTTTGTGATTCACAAGCAACCACTTTTGACTTCACGGCATCAACAGCATTCCTTCCAAGGGTCCGTGGTCCTACAGTCTCCTTGTACTAGAACTAGGGTGAAACTCCGAAATAGTGGCGAAAGAACTTCCATTCAATCATGAAGGCGTAGCCTGTCAAGTCCAATCATTGAAGTTCATGTGATTTGGTTCTGATCACGTGGTGCATACAACAGAGGGGATCCGCCAAATGCGCAGCAGAGATCCACGAACTACGTAACAAGATACGAGGCTTCATCATACCGGAAGCACATGGCATACGGCCAAAGGCCTCCATCCAAGAAGGGTCTCAAGAGATGAGTGTCGAAACGAAGGAGTCTCACATAAGCTTTAGGCGGTTTGGGAATGTCGGGTTCTGCGACACTGGCTTAGTGAATGCGCTACAATGGCACCTACAGAAACTGTTGCCCGCCAGGTCGACGATCATCCGACACTGACGAAGTCCACGTAACACTACGATATGACGAGCCCACAATCCTGCCACTGGCAGCCAAACCCGAAGCAGTGGCTCTGCTTTGCCTCGCACATGATGTTGTCCACCGTATCTCTTCCAGCTTCAGCCTCCGTCAGCAAAGGATCCCAGCCTCAGCGGAGTGAAGCAGGCATTGATAACTGGAGTTGTCCACGACGACATTTTTCGGCTACCGGAGTCGTCTGCAAAAAGCCTGTCGAGGGTTCATGTCTTATAATATGGGGAAGCCGGGTCGGGCTCGTGACTCTCGCCCTACAACACACCTCCAGCAAATCGCTGGGATGCCCAAGGCCGAGGCTAATTGAGATTTCACCACCAGGGTGTGCAAGCAGTAGCCCCGTGGCCGGTCGGTGCTGGACCTGCAGCATGCAGCCAGGAAGATGCTACTCTTTCTCACTCTGTCTCTACCTTCTGTTTTCTTCTCTGCTCTGCCTCGGTCTGTTCTGCGGCCACTGCTAGGGGCCACTGCCCAGTTTGTACACAGCTTTGACACGGAACTGGAATTGCTTCCGAGGCGAAGTCTGCAGCTCCCAGCCTATGCTATGCTCCGGGCGCAGGCAAGTTCAGGCCCGTGAGTGTCCAAGTGGTCGATCTTGTGCGAGCCACTGGTGCTTCCAACGAACTCGGCCTCGGTAGGAAGGATCAACTCGCGCTTCGTTGCTGAGCTGCGCGCGAGTGCTGTGAACGCCGTGCCTGCGTCGTGACGGCAGTGCAGAGCCTGGCAACCATCGCGAGCGGTCCTTGCATGGCATGTCCAGTCGTGCTACCGGCGCCTGGATAGCTTTAGAAGCACGCACAGCATGGCCACGCATGGCCTCACCCCACAGAAGCGAAGGCGAAGGTCTTCAGTCGAAACCGGCTTTAGCGGCCCATTCGTTACACATGCGCACGGTTTTTCTGGGCCTCGGGAGATCTGCACAAGAGAGCTGGCTGGGCAGGGAATCAGCTACTGCTGCGTTAGCACGAGTTCTCAATGATCATTACCAGGCTTTGATTTGTCAAAACTCAAGCCCAATCTGCGGCAACCTGATGGTACATGTGAGAGGAGGGGCGTGTGAGCATAAAGGACAAAAGGAGCAGCCTAACGGTTTGTCAGACACTCGCCGTAAGGAAACGTGCAGGTCCTTCCCCATCGTCATTGATGGCCAGCATGTGCACGGCATGTTGTACCTGCAGCGTAGGCTTGAGGGAGGCTCTGCAAATGCAATGTTCTCGGCAAGGTCACGTGTCCCGGGAGTTGAAGCCAGCCAATGCGCAGGTCCGCGGTGCAGGAACGGTGTCCGTGTTTCGGGTCGACTCCTTAGTGATCATGATCTTCCGTGTCAAGCCCTTGCAGCAGCAACGCAAAGGCTAAACGTCTTGGTCATTCCGAGGCTCCGGTGAGCCATTCATGGCCGTGGCGCCTCCTTCGCTGCGGCAGACCTGGTAAACCCCAACACAAGGCGATTCCACCATGCTTCACGAGAAGTCAGGAATAGTGAGGACACGCAAACAGTGCCTGACTGACCCCATGCAACGCTAGGGCCTTGAAGCCAGCTGCATTGCCGCCTTCCATGCTCGGCTCGGCATGCTGTAGACCTTGCCCACATGATACTCTAGGCCCAGCGTACCGCGTTCGGATGGCAAAAGGTTCATGCCAGTCGTGGCATGAGAATGCTGCGCCAATTGCTCCATGTAAGGAATGTAAGGCTCGGGCTTCATCCGACCTCAACGTGCCCCGGCTTCGTGGTGTGGGAGAGTGAGTTCAAGTTGAAGGTTCAGGAAAGTTCAGCAGTTAGGCGCCGGAGTGCAGGCTCGGGGGCTTAAGGGTTGTTGTTCTGAGGTTTAGGGTTTCGCAGCTGCACAACAGTGCGATACGGTTGATGGTCAAAACCCTGCATTACCCATTGTACGGAATATACCATAATTCCCATAGTTTAGGGTCATTAAGGTAATGCAGGGTTTTGACCATCAACCCTAGCAACCAGGGTACCAGGAAGCGCTGTCAGCCCTTCCCCCCCTCAACCCCTTAAACCCTCAACCCGAAGCCTGACTCGGAAAGATCTGCCCAAAGCCCCTTACATTCTCCACGTTCCAGAACCTCCAGATCGCTCAAGAACCTGAACCCCAAAATCCCTAAATACCTAAAGGCTGAATCTGAAAAGATCTCCCCAGACAACCCTGGCCCAGGTCGCTGGGCCGGGCGCCGAATTGAACTCAGAAGTAGGCCCCGGAAATGATAGCTTCTGCATCCCCGTCACCTCGCGCGGCAGCTCCAAATCTTCACACCCCATCACACCCAGCAATTGCTCTTACAGCCCACCAACATCAGTCTGGTTGTATTTGCTTGCAGTGTTTGGCGCTTGTGTCGTTTGACTTGAAAGCCTCATGCCGAGCATCCGAATTCTGCGTGATCAATGCTTCATCAGTTTGATATTTTGTAGCGGCGGCCTGCGCCCGGGAATTTGAGCAACATCTTACACTGTCACAACACAAAAACGAGCGTTTGAAGCTGTACCGCTTCTCCGGTGGCTGCGAAAGATGTGGAAGCGAATCGTTCCTGCCCACTTTCGCCCTGCACTCTGTGCCCCTGTGCGATACCGCGCACTGTGGAGACCTTTTTCGTCGACTCGTTGCAAGCATGAGAGATCGCTGACACTGTTGGGCTCAGCAACCCTTTCTGCCAGAAGGCTGCAGTGGTGACTCACACGCATAAGCTTTGACCTTACGGCGTCAGTGACATGCTTCCAGCTCTTTTGGCACGAAAGAGTCGGTGGTCCTCCAGTCTCCAGATACCAAAGCAAGAGAGGGTCAAAGCTAGGGTGAAACTCCGAATTTGGCGCGCCAGAATTTGAACCATCTATGAAGGCATAAAGCTTGTAAAGCGCCGAATGCACAGCAAATATGGAACTGCAGGTACAGATAGGAGCTTCATCTCACCGGAAGCAAGTCGAACACAGCTGAAGGCCTACATCCTAAAAGACGAGTGTTGAAATGAAGGCATGCTACATGAGCTTGAGACCGTTTGGGGATTTAGGATTCCGGTGACAATGCCATCCCTATCGCCAAACTGCCGCAGAGTTTGGCTCGCGACTGCTGCAGGCCTGGTGTCAGACGAGTGAACGAATCCAGACGTATGCAGGCTTTCTTGCTGTCAAGGAATCAGAATGAGCATTCAGCATTGATTCGACAAGTGCCGCCACGAGCGTTCCAAAGGCAGCGCAGCAGTCTACGATTCGCTCCGGCTGTGGGGAGTGTGTCAGATGGGAGATGTCTTGATTCTTCCTGCCCAGTGCACGAATCATGAACTCAGGAAGCGTGAGTAAGACCAGACTCCGAGGAGCTCATACCTGGACAGGACGGGCCGCTGGGACTGTTTTTTTGAGGAAGTGTTCGGAGGGTTTTACTGGGCGTATTTCGTCCCTATCCGACGAATCTGCCGGGCAAGCTTCTACTCCAGCTTGAGTTACTGCAAAGAGACTTTCGGGGCTCACGGACTAAGCGTTTGGCGACTTGGGATCCAAAAACGGGCAAAGGTAGCTTTGGCTTCAGGGGATCAGGATTGAGGCTTGGTGTGTTCAGGTCCACATTTCGCCAGACCCGTTTTGCTTGTCAAAGAGGAGAGGAGCGTCGCACGAAAGAGCAAGCGTGATTTCTTCCTTGAAGTACCTGGGCAAACCCAAGTAGGATTCCGTTCATCCATTGCGTGTCATAAAGATCCTGTTTGGTGCCATTTTTCCGGTGATGATCTGCTGTTCTACTAGGGGCCGATACCCGGAAGACCAGATCCAAAGAGCCCAATGCCATGCTTTCAAGCACCTTCACGTCCTATCCATGATCTAAGGAGACTCCTGTTTACATGTATGAGGTCACGGGCTTTTTAGCCACAGAAAAAGCCAATATTAACAACCCTCACACATTAGGTTTCTTAGGTGTTGAGGCTGCAGCACGTGGGCTTCTTCTGACATACCGCGGGGTGATAAAGCGGGTCACAAGTACGGGTTATAAATGGGATGTGTACGTGTACAGCATGTATAACCCTTGCCTGAGACCAGTGTCCATGATCTCGTGGGGAGCTTTGCTCTCCCGGCATCCCACATGCACAAAACATGCGCAGAACATGCGAAGGATTGATGCAAAAGCTGGCCTCGGGCTCCGCCTCGCGCGCTTCCAGCACGTCTCGCGCAGTGGAGCTTCCCTCGCCATCGCCAGTAGAATTCCCAGCTCTCAACCGAATCGAAGCACAACTCTTGCCGGAGGGAGCTCAAGCCCAGCATTGGGGGATCCTGTGGCATGTTGCTCCCAGCTTCCTCTGAAACCTGAACCTCGCAAGCCATCATTGTCATCATCATCATAATAATCATCTCCGTGAGCATAAGCAGCAGCTTCAGCATCAGCGTCAGTAGCATAATAATGATAATAATAATACTAGTAATAATAATCATAATGATAATATTATTAATAATAATGATGATAATATTCTTGATAAAAAAAGGTGGTGAGAATAAAGATAATCACCATCATCAGCAGCATCAGCGTCATCATCATCATCATCATCATCAGTGTCATCATCATCAGCGCCGTCATCATCAGCGTCGTCATCATCAGCGTCGTCATCATCAGCGTCGTCATCATCAGCATCGTCATCATCAGCGTCGTTGTTATCATAATCCTCATAATCATCAGCAGCATCAGCATCAGTATCAGGGAGTTGCCGCACAACAGCATCACCACTGCCACCGACATCAGTTCCACGATTCAATCAGTCGCCTGCTTTCGGAGGCTTCGATCGTCGAGGCTGTGAACCGCATCGACACCTGGGCGGTTAGCAGTCAGCCCGACAAGTTTGTGACCAGGTGGCTGTTTCCTGGGACCCGTGCCCATGATCTCGTGAGGTGCTTTGCTCCCCTGGCATCCCATGTTGTACACCCCCCCAGCTGATCAGTGCCTAGTACATCAGGCCAGGGTGCGTCTTGTCAAGCGAAACCCCGTCATGCCGGCTGTGCGGCAGCGGTCATGGCATCAAGGGCCGAATTTGTGTCGGTTTGACTGGCCTTCCGGTATCGCTCAGAACACACTTCGTCACAGGCATCCTACTCGTCGTTTTAAGACATGCGCCACGCATACGAATGCTTCATGTAAAAGCTGGCCTCGGCCTCCATCCCGCGCCCTGTCAGAACGTCGCTCGTTAGTGAATGTGCTGAAGGACATCAGAGTCTACGACGGCCCGCGCCGGAAGAAAGGATCTGACACAGCATGGAGCGAAGCCTTGGCCGACAAGAACGGAAGAACCGAAGACAATGCAGCCACCACAGTGTTTATCGATGCTTTCGTTTTATTAGCCTTACTATGATAGTCCAAATCATCAACAGCATCATGATTGTCCCTTATCCTTCTTGCCAGCCTTATCATTACTTCGATTGCTGCCATGCTTGGCACCGCGGCCATTAATGGCATTAATGGCATTATCATAACACTTCTCACTATGTACAGTACTGGTATCATGATCAATTAGCATCATTAGCACCGTTATTCTCATGAATATCATGCTCATCATTATCATCAACATTAGCACTATTGATTATATTATCAACATTATGATCATTGCCGAAATTCTAATCGTATCTGTCATTACTATCGTGTTTCTCAATATTCTGACAACGATTTTTACCAACATCATCAATAATGTCATCGGTACTGTAGTGAAGCAAGGAATACGACGGCCGTGCCAGTATTTTCCACACTGACTTGCATCAAGCAACAAACTTTGCTGTTCCTGGGGCTCGCGCCTACTACTACTACTACTACTACTACTACTACTACTATTACTACTACTACTACTACTGCTGCTGCTGCTACTACTACTACTACTACTACTACTACTACTACTACTACTACCTACTCCTACTCCTACTCCTACTCCTACTCCTACTCCTACTCCTACTCCTACTACTACTACTACCACTACTACTACTACTACTACTACTACTACTACTACTACTACTACCACTACCACTACCACTACCACCACCACCACCACCACCACCACCACCACGACTACTACTACTACTACTACTACTACTACTACTACTACCACGACCACGACCACTACCACTGCCACTCTGCCACTGCGATGAATAACCACAATAAATAATAACAACAATAGTCTAACGAAAATGAACGTAATAGTAATCACAATAACAATAATATAAATCATACTACTCATAACACTAATAATAACAACAACTCGGGTGCTGGCTCAGAGTTCTCCAAGGAGAGATGCTCGACAAACCGTGCCTGATCTTGAATTAACTCACAGACTGGCAGAATCGGACGTTTGCGCCACTGCCTGTTGAATCCCGTGCCGGCGCAGCTCGCTGACCTCCTGGTGAATGCAGGAGATGCGTGCCAAACGGTGCACGTCAAGAACTGATTCGGAATTGCTGAGCAGACGACTGCAGAAAGGAGTTGGAGCCAAAGTTCATGCTGCTGCAGCTGCGCCTGCAACGAAGAACCCGCGACGCCCAGGAAACAAGTCAAAACCACCGAACCTGCCCATTGAAGCTCAAAGCCGTGAACCTCAAATCCTACCTTTGGATAAGGGTTCTATTGGCAATCTATCGCAGGCTTTGCGGCTTACCAGCAAACATTGAGTTTGCATCCCGCAACCCTGTGTTTGGAGCCGCAGGGGCCCCAGCTTTGCGGAAACTGTGGTTTAGAGTTTGCACCTGGGGCAAGCTAGGGCAGTATCCTGGAGACCAGCAGCACTCGGAAAGGGTTCAGGGCAATAGTCGTGGGTAAGATATGACATTAATAGTGAGGAAACTCATTCCTAGGGGTTCCATGATCTTTTTGAGTATAAGGCCGAGCTTCCTATTTGGTGCCGTTCGATTCAGATGCATGACACTCTAAGCTGTGCTCAACTGCCCTGTAGGGCGTATCAGAGGCTCGGAGCCTGAGGTGTTGTATCCATGTCGCTTACGGCTGCGAGTGTGACTGGCTCCGAGGCCCTTTCACCATTATTGAAGGTTTGTTGGGCGCTGTAGCAGGTCCTGCCAGCGTCTGGTTGCTTACGGCTTCCCACTGCCGTGCCCGGGTCCAGGGCTATCCGTTGGGTAACGGGTTTTGCCGCTAGGATCGTCGACTAAAAGAATCTTCGACTAAGATTTAGCGAACTTTCCATCGTCTTCCTTCTAGCGGCATTTCGAGATTCAGCGAGAGGCTGAACATGGTCAAGCCCCGAGAACCGAACAGCATCGAACTGCCTTCAATCAACGAAGCAGGGCAAACTTGACTTCCCAGGACACTTCAGGCTTCGGGCTTTGGGCGTCAAGTCTACGAGTCCAGCGCTCGGGGCTGACGGTTTAACGTCGATGGCAGAAACATGCAAAGGCCCAAACTGGAACACCCATGCCAGACAGCGGCTTTGCCCATTTTGGGGTCTGAAGCTTGGCGGTTTTTAATTTAGGTGCCATGGATTCTGGACTAGGGCCTGGGGGTCTCAACAGTCTAGCGGGCAGGTGGTGCAAGGCCTAGGGCTTACTTTGGCTTTCCAGCTCAGGATCTGGCTTGCCAACCCGTGCCCAATGTCAAAACTTAACACGAAAGGAGAAAACAATGAATCTTGAATCCATAACCCGAGTGGCTCCAAGCCCAACACACTAGTCATTCCGCCCTGTGGCCTCTCCGGCGCCGTCCAAAATCTCCTGGCATGGGCGTTTGCTTCAGCGTTCCATAACAGTTTCCTAGGTTTGCAATATGGGCACGCTATTGCGTTGGGGTTTCTCTGCTTGAAAGGGCGACCTAGGCTTCAACAGACTGTGTTTGCGTGCGACGTTGAGTCTTGCTGAGCCTTCAAGCCCAAACAGGCTGCCCCACACATGCCAAACGCGAAACCCCAATACCGAAGCCTGCATAGTGTAAATGCCCCAAGCCCCTCTACCAGTGTCAGACATACTGGTGATAGCCGCAATATCAAATCCTAGCTGCGTGGGGGTCTTGATGTCGTCTTTTCTTTGTCAAGTACAATCGACGAGGACATCGAGAAACATATATGCCTGACACCTGCAACACCATCCCAAGCTTTCGAGCCATCCCAAGAGCTTCAACCCCAAACCCGAACTCTGAATCCAGAACAATTGCTGCTACCACTGCCACTGCTACTACCACCACTCTGCGACTGCTACAGCTGCTGCTCCAGCTGCTACTGCTTGAGCGGCACCTTTTCCTTCGCCTGCGACGCCACGGGCACGACCTCCACAGCAATAAGTCAGACGCAAGAGAGTGACGCACCCAAGGTCCGAGATCCGTGCCATAGGGCCCTTCGGCTCCGGCTTAGCCGGCTTCTCCTGCGAGCAGAAGACCGAGGATTCTGGTAACTCCAGGTAACTTCGGTGGTGCTACCGTCTCACTTGCATAGCATAGCAGTTGAGGTAATGCCAGTCATCCTGCTCCTACTTTTGCTCGGCGGAGTTTCGGATGCCAGTAAGCCCCACCGTGCCTTGTGTTTTCCCATGAGGGAGCGAGCTGCGCTGCTCAGGGCCAAGGGCAGCACTGCCTCTGGGACCCCAGCTTAACGCCCGGGTCGCCTCCCACGCCCAAGCCCAGCTGTCACTTAAAACTGCCGTCATCATGGACGATGGACCATCTCCTCCCCCGATCAGCAGAGGCACCATCACCATCACGCATTTACCATCATCACGACAGTAGGGAGACTGTACTGGACCAATCCACTGAAGAAGCAGGCTGACTTACAACATGAGTGATCAACAGAAGTGCATGAACAAGCTGCAATGGCCAGGACTGGTGTCTAAGAGAAAACCTTTCAAACAAACGCAGACCCCATGCCATAAAGCCTGTGTTACAACGCGATGTCAATCGCGAAATTCAGCCCCTTCTCTCCCCCAGTTCCATCTTCAAAAACGCTCAGTGCCGCCTTTGGCTCCGGAGTGGCTGCAGCGTTGGCCTCGCATGTCGGAGCAGTCGCCCCTTGAAGGCCCCCCCAATCCCCTCACCAGGCCTTGCGGCGTTGTCTGTGGCTTGATGCTTCATGCTTCAGGAATTGACTGATTGGAGTTTTGACTTGAAGCGTTTCGGCGCTCACACTCGGACACTCCAGTCGAGGCATGTGGAAGCGTTTCGGGGGGTCTAGGGTCTAGAGGTTTGATGCTTAGGGCTGAGCTCGAAGCACTGAACCCTTCCCCTGGCCTTCGGCACGTTTCCCGGCACAGGCTCCGGAGCAGGTGAGAGTGCCGCAGAACCTCCGTGCGGACCGAACCAGTGCACTCGGGGTCTTGGTTATGTCCACGCACGTACGACTGGTCGCACTTCTGACCACACTTCCCGTCGCCTTCGGCCCACTTCTTGTCACGCGCCTGTGACATCGAAAGTCTGCTCATGAAGGCATGGGTTGAGTCCCGAACCCACAACGCAAGACGCAAACAGCCAAGCCGCCTTCTTGGCAGCACGGCGCTTGGCAGAATAGGACCTTGCCGTCGGAAGCAAAAGGTGGGAGCTTTAGCACTGCAGGTTCGTGATTACGACCTCAAGAATCTGGGCAAAGCGCGGCTCACCGTTGTTGGTCACCTTTGGCAAGTCCTGCTTCTGTCTCATGACAAAGAAGCCAGGCACATGACTGCAACGACTATGACAAGATCAAGTACACTTCTGAGCCCCTTGCCACCTCAGCCATGGTGCAAGATGAGAAGGCGGCGATCGAGGGCGCCTGAGTGAAGGAGTACATGCAAGGAAGATCAGAGGCACGTTTTCATGTCCTCGTGCTGTGTCGGCAAGGCACTTAAGCGAGCGGGGTAGTCAAGGCCGGTCGGGGCCAACTTTGCAAACTTGAGCCGAAAAAGGAGCAATCCAGTATTTGGAGTTCGGGCGACAGCTCTGCTACCGTCTTCGAGCGCTGCATGATCCCACGGCAGTACTACGAATGACACTTCGACGGACATCACATGGGACCATGAGTGAAAAAGGCCTTCACAAAGTGTATTCACAGCTATGTGACTGCTGCCTTCTGCAGACCTCGTGCTGACTCTCGGCCACGGAAGGTGTAGAGGCAACAGGAGGCCAAGCCTCTTGATACAGAAACTTCGTGCGTGCACCAGCCCACACCTGCCGGAAAGAGGAAGCACGACGGTCGAGTTATCTAGTGTTCAACGTGTTCTCGCACTAGCAAGTCAGTCGAAGTTTGGATCTCCCGCGTACACCCTTTGGCCTCGTCGCCAGGGTGGAGTCCATGTCAACAGGAGGCGAGACGAGCCGGACCTGTGCAGGAAACGGGATCGGGATCTCGTAGACAGGACATGCCCGTCATGGTCTCTGGGCCTGCATTGGCCGTGGCATCAGCCCCTGGCTCCCGATGGAGCCGCCCGTGACCTGAGGAAGATCCGCTCACGGCTCCTGTAAACTCTCATCGGTCGCGGGCTTGGCCTGCAGTTGAAGCATCCTCTCCATGTTGTTGTGGAAAGGCCTGGGCCAAACACCAAACCAAGTGTGGCAGAGCTTTGCGACACTGCGCAGCAAGGGTTCTGGCCCATATGTCGTTCGACCTCGATGACCTCGTGCGATGAATCTGATGCACACCTTCGGTAAGCGTTCCTGCTCTGATTTCTGAGCCCAATGGCCGGCGACCCAGCAAAGGCCGGGTGTGCACACCATGAGGCATTTCGCGCGCCTGGCACCCAAGATGCTGCGAGTCTCACGGCTGGAGCTTTCACGCAGCCGCCTTCTCAGCAGCAACAGGCCAGACTGCTGCCGCTGGCCCTGGATCGGGAAGGCTGCACCGAGCAGCGCGTTGCTGAAACGCGGTGCCGTGCAGGTAAGCGTGAAAGAGGACTGCAGGATGCTGAGCGCTGCTGCGTTGGGAATGAGGGGCACTTGCTGCATTTGAGGCTGAGGCCGGCTTTTCACAAGCTCTAAGGACTCCAATGTTGCCTCTGAAGCGTCGAAGTCGAAAAAAGACCTGGGCTTGCAGAGGGCCAAGAAAAGGTTCATGCCAGTCGTGGCATGAGAATGCTGCGCCAATTGCTCCATGTAAGGAATGTAAGGCTCGGGCTTCATCCGACCTCAATGTGCCCCGGCTTCGTGGTGTGGGAGAGTGAGTTCGAGTTGAAGGTTCAGGAAAGTTCAGCAGCTAGGCGCCGGAGTGCAGGCTCGGGGGCTTAAGGGTTGTTGTTCTGAGGTTTAGGGTTTCGCAGCTGCACAACAGTGCGATACGGCTGATGGTCAAAACCCTGCATTACCCATTGTAAGCCAGGGACAACCTCGGCGGAAAGAAAAGCTTGAAGCCGAAGCCCAGACTGTGCCCAAGCCCTGATGCCTCAAGCCCCACCGAAGCTGGCTTTTCACGAGCGACGTGCATGGAGTGATACGGTCAGACCCGTTCGTGTTGAAGTTGAGCTGGTTGACACACGGCACAGCTCTGATGGACGTTCTGGGCCGTGGACTCCATAGCTCGGGCGTTCTGGTCAGGCAGCCGGGACGCCCTCGAAGCTGCAGGAAAAAACAACTACTGCATTGTGCTGATCGTGAGCAGTCGGTACATCATGTCTACAGGGCTACAGCGTCGACGACTCGACGACGACGATCTGTCCAGGAATACTTCGTTAACGCTCGTGCGACTCTCTGCACATGCCTGGGGATAGAGCCTCAGCAGAACTTTATGATGCAGGGTTCCCGAGCAGGTCACACAAACTACAGCATAGCGGTCTTGTTCAGTTACAGTATACTACAGTTTATTGTAGTACACTGCAATACTCTCTAGTAACTCTGGTACTTACTAGAACACATGCTACAGTCCAGTAGTGGGTGCTAGCAAGCAGTGTGCCGCCTGGCAATCGTCCCAAACGCAGCTGCCGGTCCTTTTCCGAAGTCCAGAGGAGAAGTCGGTAGGAGACCTGTCAAGGGCACGATCACACATTGTCAGCATCGATTGGGAGCTCGGGCAGCTGCAGGACGCCCTAACTGCACCGCCAGGTTTTGTACGACCATGCATACGTCCTCTAACAACCAACGAAACCATTCATGTGCGAAGAACCAGCGGGCTGCGTCCTCACATGAACCAAAATTCGCCCGAGGAATTCCCAGCGATGAGATGAATTCGCCTTGTTCATCTGCATGATCGCTTCTCAAAGATGCTGTCGGTTCGCCCGATGGGATGTGCAAAAGCTGCACCGATTCCTTTCAGGCGTTCGACGTCCACACCAGAATCGCTACGACTGTTCGCCAAGTGCTCCTCCACCAAGCCCTCACGCGATCGGTGAAGGAGACAGAACTGCCGGAATGTCAGCAACCAGCTGCACTTCGTGTCTCCAACTCTGCATCCGACGAGGTTCGGTTGCCCCCGCCTCTTGCGATTCTTCATTGGGTCTTCCACGGAGATGTCCCGAGCAACCGGAAACACCCTGTCCACAGCAAGCAACACCAAGGAAAGAGTTGAAAAGGCTGACGCTGATCGCTGACTGTTGTAAGCGCAGCACTAGGCGTACATGTCCATCACCTTTTCTGGATGACTCTGGAGCTCGTCCCAAATCCACACGGGAGCACACCCTGGCCCTAACTGCACCCCCCACGTTGCAGCATTCCTGCCTCGAGGGCGGCGTCCCATCACAAGCTGCAAGAGTCCACAGATCCGTGCCCCAGACTCCATCTGCGCCTTACACTCTTGCAACTCTCACACCACATCGTCTCTACAACACAACGGCATGCCACAACGGCGTAATGCTCACGGGTAGGAGTCGGGTAGATGGCAAACAACCCCGTGGACGCGAACACAGACAGAAGACACCTTTGCCTTGAATTCAAGCCCCACCTAAACCGGGATGCTGATGGGTGCAAGGAGGGATACACCTGCCACGCTCAGAACAACCCTGCCACACAGGAATACACAGTCCCAAGAACAGAGGTTGGGGATGGAGGCATTGCATGGCATTGCCATGTTCCGGTGCTCTTCCTGAGGCGGCAACAGTGTGATCTTTTCAACCTGGGAGCATGGTCATGGAAAAGGCGGCAATGCCACCGCAGGTCTGTCGAGACCTGCCCCCTCACCAAACTGCAAAATGCCGCAAAACCGCAATCTCCACAGCCCCACCTTGGGCCTGGGTGTAGGGGGCCTTTGATGGGCGCTGGGATGCGCAATGCAGGTAGGGACCCACTCAACCCTCGGATCCATAACCGTGCGATAGCCAACAGGAACACAAAGTGAGGGAAGCACCCGTGACAGAATCATCCCAAAACCATAACCCCAAAAGCTAAGCCCAGAGCTGAATTCCAGGCAAACCCCGCAGCCTCGCAGAGCGGGGAATGGACTTCCAAGCCTGGCAGGAGGCTTGAGGGACAAAGGTGCCTGCTGCATGCCTGGTATGAGCTTTTTTCAAGATGTGACCAGAGCTGGTGCTACAAAGCCTGTTTCCAGCGTGTTCCGCAGGCCGTTCCAAACCCAAAGGACTCGACATGCGCAGTGTGATTTGCAGTTACATTCCATGGAATTCTGCACATTCAAAAGGTTGTTCAGCCTCAGCATGCTATCAAACATGCACACTCTGTCCCGTTCATCTTTAGGACCATCAGCAACCTCGTCAGCACCACCGTCACCAGCAGCCACCACCCAGGAGTCCTTCAGACCTGAACCCTGAAAGGGGACTTTGTGAAATCTGCACCAAGATCTCCCCCGGCCCGTCAAACTCAAATGCAAATCAATTGCGATTTCTTAATCTGAGACCTGCACCTGATCGGCTGGCAGCTACAGCCACAACTCCGGCGGCAGCCAGAGCCCGGGCCAGAGCCTCGCAAAGATTCTGAGTTTAGGAAAGGTTCAGGACCTGGCTGGTGCCGAAAGCCACTGCAATTTTGTTGCCTCGTGATGCGTAAACTACTGACGATACTTGTGGCATGAGGCGGTGACTCCACGACTGCCGGAGCGGCTTGTCTACCAGAGACCCCCACACCCTAATATCAAAAAGCAAGTCTTTCGGGTTTTTCGCACTTTTCGTCAACTTCTAGGTGCCCGTGCAACCCCAGACACCATTGATGTCTGGCCGTCAAGGCACCGAGAAGGACAAACTGCTGGCAGCGGCTTGACCCTTTGCAGGCTGGGCTGTGAGAAAAGGCTGACTTGCAAAAATACCAAACGCAGCACCTGCCTGCACCTGGGACATGGAGGTGCCACGGAAGCTGGCTGCGACAATTAGAACCATGTCATCAACTTTGATGCGATGACTGCGAGGATGCCCATCACACAGTCAAGTAGTGTTGATTTTGCTTTTTGTTGCACACCTCCTGCGACCACGCACTTGACGCGACCCTGTCAGACAAGGACCCCCAAACAGAACTGGCACAGGCAACGAATTACAGCGCAAACGTGGAGGCTGGCGAGCTTGCTTAGCAAGCACCGCGCCCTTGGGACATGGTGAACACCTCACACGATTTGCAAACTCTGCAACGCGGCAAGATGACGGCACCTTCCCTGCAAGGCGTGCGCTCCATTGCTTTGACGTCTCGCCCCGTCCCCACTTCTTCCTGACCCGTCAGCGATCGCCCGTTTCCAAGCTACTGTAGTCATGCACCGGGGGAGAATCCCCACGTCTGGCACATTCCAGGCACCGCCACCAGCTCGGATATGTTGCATTTTTACCGCCTCAGCTGCTGGCTTCCTGCTTTTTCATAGCACATACCCAGCCTTGGAAT